TGAGTGGGCTGTGAGTGTATGGCCTGTGTCTCCGAAAGTCCACTATTAGCTCTTTCGTTTTCTTTATGTTCAAGTCCAGATTATTGCTATGACACCACCTAAGCAGCTGTACAAGTTCATGCCTGTAAGTGGACTCGTCATCATCACTGATCAGTCCTATTATAGTGGTGTCATCTGCAAACTTAATGATGGCCCTCAAAGACTAAGGTCACTCCAATTATTTTAAAATGATTAGCTGTACTGTTTAGTTGTGCTCTGAGCAATATCCACAATATCCATCCATTTCTTTAATCAGTCCAGAGAAAAGCAACCATATTTACACCCAGGTTTAAAGGAATGCCTTACCAAACATGCTAGATGGGCCAAATGGCATCCTCTTGTTTCTAACCTTTCTTATGTTCTGCATAGCCTGAACGTCACCTTTTTAGATTTTTAGAACTGAACCTTGTTTAATAGAGAAGACTAATGACTTAATTCAAGAACTCCAAATTCTCAAAGTCAATGACAAAGTCATGCCAATGGGCTTGTTCAGAATATTGAAATAAAAACATCTTAATGTTATCTACATATCAGCAAACGCATCTGTCAAAAAAAGCATCCAGGTCTAATATGGCTGTGTTGAATGCCTATAAACTATACAAAACAGCAAGGGGAAAAAACACCACTTTCAGTACCTACCCTGTGAACCAAATTTATAACCAGGAAAAAAAACAACTGCATGTAAATACATTGTAAAATAGAAAGTGTTTCTGCACCTTATTTTTTAATGTCTCCAAAGTTCATGCCATAAAGTAATTTAGCTAAACTTTTTGTACAAAGCAACATAATTATTACTATAACATATATATTGTTATGCATCTGGATATTTTGCTCAGAAATTTGTCACCAGTGTCACACATGGGATTTTCTGTGATCTTTGTTTTGTGCTCTTGCTGCCACCTTCTAAACAACACATAACATTGTGCATGTTATGTTCCTTGAACAGGAGAAGGACAAGAGAAGAGATCAAAATACCCCTCTCTTTTTTGCAGGAACTCCATTTCACAATACTTTATTTATAGTGCCACTAGAATTATATAAATATATTATATATTATATAAAGTGCATAGAGCAATGGCAAAGCTATTTTAAGAGGAGCAGTTAATATTAACTGGGTTACGACCCAATGCAGGAGGGAAAATTATCGTTGCAACGCATGAAGTGCACATCAGAAGCAGCTCATGTCAACTAACTGCCCATGACATCCGCCAAGTTTCTGTTTTCAGAGCACCAGTTTCCAAGCCAGAGGCATTTTCAGTTGTGAATACAAAATATAGCCACCATATAAGCAGGAATAGCAGTGTATCAGATGTTAGCTGCCAACTGCAATGGTACTTATCAAGTTTACAGTTAATTGGTGAAATTGTAGTGGCCACACATTGAGAAAGAAAAAGAAGGAACAGATGAATGGTTGGACCACCATCTTTTTCATGTACAAATCCCATTTGTGCATATGCTATTTATCCTGTTGGCACTAACCTGGCTGTATTAAGTTTGAAGTAAAATGATAATGTGTTTAGAGCAGGAGCACTTTGCGCGAGGGTCAGGGGTTTTGCAACTGGCTTAACAGCCTGATAATTTTGAACACCTTTCTTATACAAAAAATTAATAAAAAATATTAATTTAAATAGAATATGCCTGAAAAAAACGTATTTGTCCTCATTAGCTGAAGAGTTAACTGTTAAAACAAGCTCAAATGCAGTTTATCCATTTTGGGAAATTAAAGAAGTATCACGGAATTAAGTTGTGAGCCTTGAAAATTTTTTTTATCTTATATTCCAGCTGAGCTCCTAATTGAAATATCAGTTACAATTACTGAAACCAGGTAACTTCCCACTCCAACAACAGGTTGTAAAGAAGGTAATAACTCATAAAGCCCTGTAAAACCCACTCGCTTTTCGTGCTCTAGGTTCAGAATGAGACAGCCCTGCTTCTGGATTCACCAATGTTCACAGGCATTCCAGCTGAGATACAACAGCAGGAAATACGTACTGAGTGCAGCAGCCGAGCTGAAGGAGTGTGATCCCTTTGACCATTCCCTCGCCCACCTGGGATCTTCAGGGGTGGGAGAGGGGCATCAGGAGCACCACAGAGGCCCCGGACCACGGGTACTGCTACAGTGCAGAGACAGGCTGGAAAACAGTACATAGGTTAGATGAGACCACACTAACTTTTCAGTTATTCCTGCTATCACTAGGTAGAGAATTTTCATGTGACATATGCAGATGCAGGTCTAAATTTATTAAAGCATTTCTGGTGATAATCAGCCCTTCTAGCTTTTAAACCATTTTACATTGTTAAACTTCCATCTTAAACATATCCTATGTATTGTCAAAAAGGTTGTCTTTTTCTAGGTATACATTTCTCAAAGATCTTATAGCTATCCCTCATTCTCTCATCCACAGCCAAAGTTTAAGCATCTCGCTTTTTAGATCCATCTTTCAATGTTCTTTCCTAGGTTTAGAATGATTTACACATATACAAACAGGCTTATTCTGAACCAACCATAAAGCAAGATTGGTAAACCACTGCAAACTAACATTAGGACTAGGATTAGGACATGCATTTAACATCTGAATGCATGTTGAATCCTCCTAGTTTGGTATGATCAACTAACTCGAGTTGTTTGTGAACTATACCAAAATCTAGATCAGTGACATAAATTAGGAAAAGCAGTGGTCAATCTACCTATTGATTCTTACACAAAGATATTTCAAGTTCATATGAATATCCATAAACCATAGTTTTAAACCAGGGTTTCTACATTTTTATTGTCCTGGAAAACAACAATTCTACCTGGACATTCTACCTGAAAATACAACCCCACTTTAACTACAAAATAAAACACAAAGAAAAATAAATATGAGATTCAACTGTCATCTGTTCTAATGCTGATGTTAAAATGCAGTGGGGTTAAGGGTAACATTGTACTGCCTACATGTGAATGGATTTTAAGGTTCTCCTGCTGACTCATAAGGTACTGGGGTCTGGTTCCTCTTTCATTAATGTGGTGTACTACATGAGTACAGTCCAATACTTAACCTGCAGATTCAGAAATTACTTTACTGAAGACCAAGCTCTACGCAATGGGCAATGCAGCCTTCTCTTGTGTTGCACCATGTTTGTGAAACCCACTGTCTAGATCTTTCAGAGTTCCTGCAACTATGGACAGAAATGTCTTGGACACTTATCTTCTCTCTAAAGACTTTAGTCTATTTGGCCCTTTTACTATTTTTTTCAACTTCTGCCCTATGTTTTATGCAAGCACTATTATACAGCGCTTTTACACATTCATTTTATTTTTTTACACATTATTTCAGAGATAAATACACCCATCAAAAACCAATTTTAGAACATGTATTGACTAATTTTGTTTAATCTTAATCCACAACTATATACTATTTAATACTGATTTGATTGAAAGTTAACTTTAAATATCTGTAGCTTTTTGTTGGTGCGCAGTAAGGCCCGAAAGGCACCTCTGTTTACATGAAAATGATTGAGCATTTCTATTATAGTTTATGCTCAACACTAGACTTAAATAGATCCAGGTATCTTAGCAACACTAGAAGAGTGCAAAGTGCACAAACTAGACAGTGTAAAATTACACAAATAATTTATTGGATTGAACGCAACCGTGTTTCGAGTATATAAATAAAATAAACTTATTTCAGAAAAACACAGATGCTTTAATGCAAAAACATTGCATATAGGATGAAGGAATACGACGATGAAAAAGACGGAAAAGTTTTTTTTTTCTGGTACATGTTGTAGCAAACTTTGATGTTCAATTAAACAGCTTTAAAGCAATTGCAAAACACAAAATATCAAAAACCGATGTCTTGTTACGAACGTACAATTACCGCAGTTTATTATTCGAGTGTAAGCACGATTGGTAAAAGGTATCTAAATTGTAATAATGTGAGTGTTTCTCTTTGGGGTACATATTGTGACCCTTAATAAGGTTCTATCATTCTTGTCTGACTACCTAAATTTTGTAGTTGTGCTTAAGAACTAGACTATCCATTTGTTTTTCAAAAAATACCACAAGCTCTCCGGTGTTTGTTTAACAGGAAACGTATCGAGACTGATGAAGACGCACCGGGAATGAAACCGTAATGCAGGGCAGCAGTTGTCTCACTACTGTACAATGAACCACTGGCGCAAGTTACATGAAAGAGGAAGTAGGATGACTATTGTGACGTAGCTGTCTTCTCCTTCAAGGAGAACAAGGCCTTAGAATGGAGCTGAATGTTAGAAAACAAAAACAAAACAAAAAAAAAATCCATACAAATAAAGTCCACTTTTACATGTTTACTATACAATATACTATATAATTATATCGGACAATATAATCGAAGTCCAAAAATGTGTCCACGTTTCCTTCCTATAGCTCTTCTGAACAGGGCCTGTCTTTAATTTATCGACAAAATCAAATTAATGTGATAAGTTATACAATAAAACAGTTATTTATAACTATTAAATTCATTGATCATATCGATATTTTCTTATTAGTTAAAAAGGAAGATCCCCAAATGAACTGTGACGTATGCTTTATTAATAAGGAAGAGGTTTAAAGAGGGCCATGTTTTAGTAAAAACAATAGACGCACAAAAAAGACGGCGTGAAAATTTTGATATACACATAAAAGGAAAAACGGCTCTTATATCGAAATAATAATTTTCATTCGTAAACGTTTAATCGGTGACATCTGCGATTTTCTTAGACACTGTGGCTATATAAAACCTACCCGTCCCCAGCTTTTTTTTACATTCACTTACTTGTCCATCATGTCACAAATACTACTACTTAAAGCAGCCATGACGGTGTGGTACTGTTGTTTTCCTTCTTTCTCTCGGGCAAAGCAATGACTATTTAGGATCCGCTGGAGGTTGGATTTTACCATCCGGCCTCGGTGAGGGGACCGACGAGCTGACTCTTCAGGGCGATGGTCGTTTTGGGAATGAAGCTGATGGGACTAAAGATCGGTCTCAAAACTCCGTGCGGCGGTGGCGAGAAAAACAAGTTATTTTTTCATCCAGTGAGGTGAGGACGCTCTACAGTGAGGGGGCGTCAATCAGAGAATGGAAAATTACTGAGACTCGCATCTATAAGAGTGGCTGGAGTCGGTATTGCACTCGAGTTCCCCTCTAAGCATTACCAGCAGCTGATACGTAAATCACATCATGTTGTCAAAAATAACATTACAAACGCCAGCTTCTGCAAAAAGTCAATGTAATTATTTCTCGAATGCCTGCCATTTTCTCGTTTAAGAGTGTGAAAATTTAATAAGCCAGTAGCCATATCATCTTGCAACTCACAACTGGCAATCCAGTGCTGCTAAGCACGTGTGAGCCTGGCCAGTACCTGGATAGCAGGCCTCCTGAGAAAAAACTAAGGTTGGTGCTGGAAGAGGTGTTAGTGGGGCCAGCAGGGGGTGCTTACCCTGTGGTCCATATTCTAATGCCCCACTATAGTGATGGGGACACTAAACTGTAAGACATATAACCAAGGTTTGCTCTCTGTGGATATTAAAAGTCCCAGGGTGTTTCTTGAAAAGTGTAGGGGTGTAATGCTGGTGTCCTGGTCAAAATTTCCCATTGGCCCTTATGCTACTAATCCTCATACTAATCCCCATCTATGAATTAGCTTCATCACTCTGCTCTCCTCCCCACTAATAGCTGGTGTAAGATGAGTGTTCTGGCACACTATGGCAGCTGTTGCATCATCCAGGGGGATGCTGCACATTGGTGGAGGGGAGTCCCCATTACCTATAAAGTGCTTTAAGTGGAGTGTCCAGAAAAGTGCTATGTAAGTGTAACCAATTATTAATATTCAGAAAAACTTGATATTGTTTAAAACATAAGGAGGTACAGTAGCCTATTTTAACAAGCAGTTAAGTTTTACACTATTTAAATACTGCAGGTATTTAATTTATCTTTTGATACATCTTTTTTGTCAATACATAACATATATAAATGCTTTCCCTAGACAATATATCAACAAATTATACGTTTATAAGTATTCTTAGAAACTAATATTAAAGCAGTGTTTCTATATTATGTTTACTACATATTTATTATATAATATGATCTTTTACATAGTAAACTCTCTTAAGACTTTTCACATTCTGAAAAAGATCTGTTTTAAAATTAAGAACAAAATGTGTCATTCTTGCAATGGTGAGATTAATTTAAAAAAGATTTTAACAATGCTAATGTTAGTCCAAATGTATGGTGCTTTTCTGATGTTTACATGTATTTTTATTTCTGAAATCTTCAATAAGCAGAAAATGTATTCCTATTTTTATGAAAAAACACATTCTTTTTGCAGGTGAGAAGGTCTGAACTGTTTATAATGCTATTATTGGAAGCCCTATTTACAGTATATCAGGTAAATACTGCAGTTCTGTAAAAATATAATCCTCTGTTTCCCCAACCATTTAAGTAATGAGTGTGCAGTTTTTCTTTTCATTCCTTAGAAATGTGTTTTAGATTTTATTTAATACAGCCCAGAACACTGATTTTAAAAATGTAATCACATGCAGAGCTGCAGGCATTAGGGTGATGTCTATGGAAATACCCCTAGATTAAATAAATAAGGATATTCCCATGGTAAAGTATCGGTTCATATATTGTTTAAGGTATGAATCATAAACAAGGACATGATACACATCATGTTTCCAAAACCAGTTTAGGCATGGAAATCACTGGGCACCAGATCAGGAAGGAGGTGTGGGTGGTCAAGCCCCTCCTATCCCATCCATAAACATTCATGAGTATAGCTGAAATGTGTGATGTGGAGCTATTGTGCAGTAAGATGATGCCATGATGCAGCAGCCCAAGTTGATAACTGAGCAAGCAGCAAAAAGCAACCATAAGAATAGAAGAAAGGTTGGAAATGAAAGGAGGCTATTTTGCCTATCGTGCTCATTTAGTAGATAGGTGATTCTCAAAATTTTTTCCAGTTGTTTTTAAAAAGACCCCAGAGATTGGGCCTCAATCTGATTGTATAAAGAAGCTTTTCCTATTTACCACATTAACTTAAATCCCTTTTAGTTTCCAGTTATAACCATGTGTCCTTGTTTTAATACTGAGTTGAATAGTTCCCTGCCATGGGCTAGCCCTCTCTATGCATATAAGATCTTATATAATTGAATTAAAGCTTCTGTCAATCTCCTTCGCTCTAGAACTAATGTTACACCTGGGCTGGGAGCTGCTCGTGGCCTGACACTGCCATGTAAACCCAGGGTATTTCCGTGAGCACTCACCAGTCCACCAACCCCATAAGAACAGGCTTAGGCTTTCTCTGTAATGGGAGTAGGTCCAGGCTCCAGCGAAGCATAGTTCAGGACACTGTGCAGATGGTATAATCCTGAAGTAAGTGGAGAAGGACATCCATGGAAGGTACAGCAAGATAGGATGGATAGACAGACAGGGGGGCGTGACGAAGGTGATCTGGGGCTCGGGGTGGTGTGGCAAGGGCAAACAGGTCCAGACAGTCCAAAAGGGGGAATCCAGGGTGCAGTCCAAAGTACAAAACCGGGGGATCCATCCAAGACAAAATGAACACAGTTAAATTCCGGAATGGGATCCGGAACAGGTACAGGGAATAAAACCAGGATGACGAGACCAGGCGCTCTGAGCCCCGGACTCAGATGGTCAGGATGTCGTGATGAAGCCTATGCCGTCGGGTCTCTCCTGGACCCACTGGTATGAGGGCTTCCGGGCATCCATCTCCCAATGCTGAGTCAGGAATAGCGAGAGCGGCAGGCTTAAATAGTAATCAACATAATCAACTAAAATACGAAAGGGTCAGAGCGCCCTTTAAGAGGAGAGATGCCGAATTTGAAATTCTCTCCATTCAACGCTTTATCTATAAATCAGGCAGCCAATCTAGTAATCAGGTGCCGGATTGATCAACCAGTTTAAGGCTTAATTCTCTTCCAGAACGATGCTCCGAGGATCTGGAGCTGTGAGACACTAGCTCTATGCTCTTCTTCCTGTCGCAAGCTTACAACAATGTAGATCTAGCAGAGATTCACTTTAATAATTTAATCTCTGACAGCCCTCCACCAACTCAACCCGCCATCTCACTACCCTCAATCCAGACAGTTCTCACTTAGTCTTTCAACAGCCTTTCTCCCTGCTTGATTGTCAGCCTGCCTGCTCAACTCTCATCACTAGCTGCTGCCTTCCCAGCTCTCCAGGAATCTTCTGGAGATGTAAAAGTCCAGTGCTTGGGTTTCGGCCTGTCAGCTTGCTACAGCACTGCTCAGCAGCGCCTGCAATGTAACAATGAATAGATACTTTATAAGACATTCTGATGAGCCAGATCTTTCTAATTTATAATATCATTTTTGTGGTGGCCAAATCAGAACATAATATTCTAAAGGGGGTGTTGCTAGTGTATCCTTACTTCGCTTTAATTAATAATTAAACCATTCTGTTTGCTTTTTATTGCTCCCCCACATTGTTTTGATGAGGTTATAATTTTGATATATGAAATTATCTGTATTTTTATAATTCTATCTGTGTTTTCTACTCACCCTTTTTTTGTGAAGTTTTTTGAAAACATCTTAAAATGTATATTGCTAAGTATATCAGAGTTTAATCTATATACTGTAGATCAGGAAGAGGATGCCTGTGGGGTAGCATGGTGGTGCAGTGGTTAGCATTACTGCCTTGTGGTGCTTGGGCTCTGGGTTCAATTCCAGGGTTACTCTCTGCATGTTGAGTTTTTATGTTCTCCCCAGCTTCACATGGGTTTTCTCTGTGTCCTTTGGTCCCTCTCACAGTCCAGAGACATAGTGGTAGATTAACTGGAGTCTGGGAAAACCTGGTATCTGGATATATTATTCTTAACTGCAATGGCTCTTAATGTAATAAGATTTTTTCAGGGGCCTTTTCACAATCCCTCTAGAAATTATAAACATATTATATGCTTAGTAGTGTTATCTATTATCCTTGTTACTTATTGGAAGAAATCAAATTAGTTAAACGAGACATTCTCTTTCTAAATTATTTTTTGCTGTCTCTTAAAATACCACTGAATTGTATGTAATTTTAAAGTTGAACTCTATTATTTCCATAATGTCACCAATAACAAACACAAGACAGTTTCCATGTTCTATTTTGTCCCCCTTTCTGAATTAGAATAGGTGAAATTCTAAAGTCCATGGGTATTGCTCACATTAATAGTGAGAATTAAAATATTTAAACAAAGGTTCTATGAATAAAATACTTTACTTCCTTAAATATGACTACACAAATATCCAAAAGCCCATTTATTTATTCGTTTTTTACAATAGTAGCTCCAGTGGGTGTACACTATGCTATAATTTCTCAATACAAATTTTGTTTTTGTCTCATGGTCTAGATTTCTTCTATTGTAAACACGTGTGAAATATTAATTCAGCATGTTGTAATGCTGTAGGACTAAAAGAATGCTTTACATAATTTATTTTGTAATATTCCTTTCACTCTCAATTTTGGCAATAGATCAATAAGTTTATCGTCCATATTTGGTGTCTTTACAAACTGGAGAAATCATTAACCATTTCAACCACATATTTAATTTAATATTCTATATTCCCCATCATAATATTACAATGCTTATGTTGATTGATGTGTGAACCTCTCTGAGTAGCTTTGGGACAGTGTAGGTGCATACATTACAATATTCTTGTTGTCCAAGCATGTGCATTGTATGCAGGGAAAAGCTAATTTGCAGTAACAGCTGGTTTCATGCAAATACCTTCCATAATCATGCATTCTATGTGACAAAAATTTTCATCCTGGGTGCTAGCCCATATTGCTGCTTCTATTGACTGAAAATCAAATACATTGCACTAACATCTGTTTATGCCATATGACATAGGGCCTGTACACTCCCAATGACATACATTTTGCTTGCATGAAATTCATCTCTGCACTCCAATATGACCATGTTTACACAAGATGAGCCATATCTGATCCTTTATCTTAGACAGCTGTTGCACTCCCATAGACTTAAGCAGATGATGTTACAGTGCTTTTACAATATTATTCCACCAGGGTAACATTTTTAACACATAAGCAGTCTTGTTACCTTATTCATTATATCATTCTTTCATCTCAAAAAGATCACCAGTCTATGTGTTATGCTGTCTCTGACTGTAGCTGAAAAACTTGTCAACACATTACTCTTCTCTAGAATTGCTTACTGCAGCCCCCTACTTGGTAGGGTATCTAAATCTACACTGAAAAAAATCAGTATGTCCAGAATTCAGAGCCAGAATCCTGACCAGGTGTAGTGCAAGTGATCACATTTTCTTACTCCTGTCTTGGAGTTCTTGCACTGGCTTCCTATCAGGTTTCATGTCAAATTACTTATGCTCAGCCCTAAGGCTCTACATGGCTTGGCACCCCAGTACCTGTATGTTTTATTATCTTCCTACTCCCCTCCTCACAACTTTTTGTTCATCTGACTCTGGTGTCTCCTCTGTCTCCCATGCTTGTCTACATACAATGGGTGACAGGGTCTTCTCTTGCTATGCCCTTTTTATTATTAAAGCGTAACTACATTTTAAATCTTTAACTGAAAATAAATGTTTTTAAATAATTATTTAAACAGTTATAGTGGTACCTTTGGATTTGTCTTGCAATAGTTTTTGGAACCCTGCTACATACAGTTTATTAGTCTTAGATGTGGGTGGTAGACGACGTAACTTTCATAGGACTATCCTAGGATCAGACTATCCATGGACAGTTTCACATTTCTTTCACCTGTGGCAAAATCTGTTATTTTGTGAATCATAGTACAGTTGGTCTTTTACGTACGTTCTTACTTGAGCTAACTCTGAAACATTCTGAACTCTAGGTGTGCCATGTTGTTCCCTTTGATAAGAAAGCTCACTGAAACCTCAAACATAGTACTCCTGAATGGCTTACATTGGACTTTTGTTTTAAATTGTTAGGCTACTTCATTAGTTTCTTTGACCAGGAATCCTTCAACTCTAATCTATGATGTGCCTCTGGGTTTGAGTGAGTTTGGATTCAGTCAGATTTTCTTCGGATTCCAACACTTACCAGAAGTGATCCTTGTTAAACATCAGTGGGTTTTCTATGTTATCACTGTGCAGTATTATTGGTCTCCAATAGTGTTTAACTGCTGTTCAGTCCATAGGGCTGCCACACCCTCTACTGCTTGAGGGTGCTCCTACTCTGTCCTGTCCCTAGTTTCCCTGTGCTTTGCTTGTCCTTCCAGTGTGTCTTTGTCTGGGGCTTTATATTTCCGGGTCACTCTTTCCTCCTCGCTCAGCATTGAGGATTTGGATTTCCTGAGACCCGCCTAGCACCAAGTCGTCTCCTCTGCAGCCTGAGGGCATAGTTTTCTACCCGACATTGTCTGACCAGCTGAGCCCGGGCTTACTCTTGTTTCGCTGCTACGCATAGGGTCTTTTTTCATTCTCCTGCCATTCCACGGCATGCCTTTCTGACATCCGTGACAAGGGCTTGCGGTATGAATAGAAACAGATGATAAAAGATGCTGTACATTGCTGCTGTAAGTGATGTTGGTGGACCTGTAGGTAGCTATGTTCTCAGTATGCTTATAGGGGACACTGTGCTGTAGGAGGTGCCAGCTCTCAGATGAAATGTTAAACCAATGTCCTGACTACTTGCTCATTAAAGACTCCATAGCACTTTTTTAGAGTAGGGGTGTTTAATCTGGGGTCCTGGCTAATTCCTCTTTTGCACAATCTGGTTTACCTAATTGCTTAATTCAACTGGCAAAGTAATTTCTCTCTTTACACGGGCTGGTGGTGCATAATGGCAGCTACACATCATTTGAGGGGGGTGTTGCACTGATATGTAAGACGCTTTGATATTCTTGGGGATGCACGGAGCTAGGTTAATAAAAAAAATATGAATATATGTCTGTAAAAGATGAAGGAACAGGTATTGGCATCTGCATCTTGATCTTTGGAATGATGAAATTAACAACAATTAGTACATCATCATTGTTATATACTAATAGTGTACACTGTGTTGTTTATTACATTTTATTTTTAAAGTAAACATTAAATAGAATCAAATGTTTACATTAAACATAAATGAAAACTTTTTGAGGGTAACTAATCATATGTCATTGGAAAACAAATGTCAAAATGAAATGGAGAAAACAAGGCATTGTTTAGAAAAAGGGAACACCTCCAATCTCCAAATTTAATATAGTTCCTTATTAGGTTATATTGACAGTAAAGAACACGGCCATTGGATTCAGTTGACTAAGTCTGAACAAAGGGGAAAAACAGTCCTTTTAATAGGTTAGCCTTTTGTTATGTGTTGTTTTTAGGGTGTGACAGAGTTCTTTGAGCCAACTCTGATCAAAGCAGCACATTTGTTTTGGAAGGGTTACTAACTGTATTCTCCACCAGACCTTTTAATTATCAGTCTCATCTATGTGGTCATTTAAGCAAGTATCAGAACTGCAGCCATCAAAAGGTGCCTTAATATGGTAGCAGAGTAGAGTAGTGGCTAGTGCTGTGCTTCTCCATACGAGAGTATTGTAGGTTAGTATCCTAGGGTGGACATTGCTGTTGTATCCTTGAGGAAGGTACTTCACTCAATTAACTCTATAAAAGCTCTGCTTTTCATATGGGCTAAAATGAGGTTAGTTCTTAATTAATGAGCATGTCAAAATAAAGAAATACATTTACACAATATAAATTGAGGGAAGTATTATTAAAATAAACAATTTGTTCAAAATACCTTTTTTAGGTTATAATTTAAAACTCAATTTCTTGGCCTTTACCAGGGATTACAAAGACATTTAATTGAAGCATCCAAAATCTTAAATGTTACTGGCAAAATTTACACTTTGAGTTCTTGAAACGGCAAAGCGAATTCAACCTCACCAATTGAACAAACACTCACCAGAACATAAGAGGAAATTAGGTGCAGGTGGAATTCTTCATTCACACATAGAATCAGGTGTACAAGAATCATACTGCTTGTCCTTAGCATCTTTTAAAAAACTAAAATTTGAGACCTGAATCAATAATCTACTTATACTTACATCCATTTTCTAACCATTTCTTCCAGCTGAGGATCACATGGGAGCCAGAACCTATTCCAGCAAGCAACAGACACAAGGCAAGAGGGGATGCCAGTCCATCAGAGGACAGACACACAAACTCACTCATACCAGGGACATTTTACTTATCCAGCCATCCATCCATTTTCACTCCGCTTTTCCTGGTCAGGGTCGTGGTTGCAGCAATCCAAGTAGATCAGGCCAGACTTTCCTGCCTCCAGCAACAGATTCCAGTTCGTCCTGGGGGATCCCCAGGTTCTCCCTAGCCAGCCGAGAGATATAATCCCTCCAGGATGTCCTGCCCAGAGGGACATGCCCGGAACAGCTCCAGCTGAATCTGACCAAGGGGCATACTTATGAGATGCCCAAACCACCTCAACTGGTTCCTCTCGTTTTGGAGGAGCAGCGACTCTTCTCTGAGGCTCTCCTGGATTGCCGAGCTCCTCACCCTGTCATAAAGAGTCAGCCCAGTGGCCCAGTGGAAAAACCCTTATTTCTGCCACTTGTATCTGTGATCTAGTTCTTTTGGTCATTACCCACAGGTGAGGACCATAGGTGAGGACAGGGACTTACAGTATATACTATGTAAATGTATTGAAAAGTGAGAGAGACGAGTTTATTTTGCCATATGTACATGTACTTTGGGATTGTTATTCACGCTGTTCTCAGGATCTACACAGTATAACAGACAACATCACACAATGTGCACAGTACATTACAAAACATTAAATAATAAATAATGACAGTTGCAGCAGACCATCATGCACAACATAGGACAACAACATAAAATGGGTACTACAGAACAATCAACACACAAGAGAATAGATTTGTGATAGCTAAGTTAAAAAGTGCAGAATGCATTGAATTCTAAGGCATTATACAGTAAGCTGTTAATGAGCTGCCAAAGTGTAGGAACTGTTCTTAAGTTCTAGTGTCACGGATGTTGGAAAGGACAAACCGTGGAGAGGCAGGCAAGCGAAAAAGACCCTATGCGTAGCGGCGAGACGGGGGTTAGCCCGGGCTCAGATGTTCAGGAAATGCCATATAGAAACCTATGCCCTCAGGCAGCGAACATGGGGCGACCTGATGCTAGGCAGGTTTCAGGACATCCGAACGTCAATGCTGAGCGAAGTTGAATAAGTGACCTGGAAATATATAGCCCCAGAGAGAGAGAAAAAACGGAAGGAGAGCAAAGAACAGGAAATTAGAGACAGGACAGAGTAGGTGGTGTTGTACCACTTAGGAGAGTGTAGGGGGATGAAACGTTTGTGGTTGGGATGGTTGGGATCCTGAATAATGAATCAAGCTTTATTGCGACAACAGGTGGCATAGATCTCATCGATTGATGGTAAGTCAGATCCTATAATCCTCTGTGCCTTTGCCACAACCCTTTGTAGTGTGTCTTTGTCATGTTCCATTGTCATATCATACAGTGACACTATTAGTTAGGAAACTTTCTATGGTGCTGCTTCCCCTCTGTTCCCTTTTTTGGAAGGTTTTTAAGTTTGTATGAATTGTTGAAATTTATGTTCAACTAAATTGCAGTTAATGACTTTCGTGACCCATAAATCATAGCTAAATGGCACAAAAACAGAAAGCATACTTGGTTTTTTAAGGAGTATATGTCTGCCCTAGTTGCATTTACTATTCAAGCACAATTATCTAATAGATAGAGTGTGCCACCATTCCATACAAACATCAGCCACAAATATCTAGGTAAATGGAGAAAAAAGAATTTTCCCTCAGGTAACAAATATATGATTTAGGGGATTTCATTGTGTACACTGATACAGTATATCACAGAGCTTAAATAGAGAAATTCATTTTAAAAAAGCTGTGGTAGCTGAGAAATTACGTTTCCATGTCTGCACCTTGGATAAACAGCAGGAACACTATTCATGCAGCACTAAAGAGGAATTTCTTTTTAATTTGCGTCATTTCAATTGAGGAGCACTGCTGTTATCACAAGATGTTTATGTACAGCTTTACATTTTAGAAATCTTTGTTAATATTTGTGTAAAGAGAATAGCTTGAAGCAGATGTTAGCTAAGATATAAGGTCAAGCTGGCTATGTTACACAGTCATTGAGGCAAAGAAAAAAGTTAAAACTCACAAAAATATGGATTTGAGCTGGTGTGTTTTTGACCTACATCCACAAATAGTGTATCAGTTTTCTGCTCTTCCATTTGCTTTGCTTTTTTACTTTTTCACTAAATTAAAATGCCTAAGTGTGATTTCAAGGTAGGTTTTTCATGTTTGCTTCTCTTGTACATATGAAAACATATTCAACCACAATTAGTAGTCCTGCTTTAGATTAAGGACCAAGGGCATTTATGTACTGTAATTTTTACATTTTTTACAATATTGACACCTTGTCTAGGAAAAAGGTTAATGAATTTATTAATTGTGATGAGAATTGTTTGCTAAACTATATTTATTTTTGCTCATTTGCAATAATTTGGATAAGGCTTGAAGCCATTTGTGTGCTGTAGCTTCTGTATGAGTATTGAAATACAATAGTAATTCTACTAAGTGGTAGTTGAGATGCTGTAACTTGAGGTACTGTGTTACATGTTCTTTTTCAAGTTCATTTTGAATTGGTCAATGTTTATATTAGTTATCTTGAAAGATCACTGATTTATATGTTGATTTAAGTTTTATGTTTTAAAAAGCAGTTTGATTTTGTTACTGGTAAAAGTGTATAATGTATATGTAAAACATTAAAATGGCTACACTTTTTCATATTTCATATAAAAAATAAACTACACTTTTTCATATTTAGTATTGTCAGTTAAACATCCAAGTTAAATACTGAATTTAATGCTATGAGAAACAACAGAAACCATCTCCCCAGCAAAAAGCCAAGAGTAGTAGGGACTGTATACAATTTATACATTTATATATAGTATTTCAAACACTCATGAATGTGTTTCTTTCAGGATTTGGGATTAGTAAAAATCTTGTATTTTCAGGTACATCTACCTGTTGCTGGGAGGATGTGTCCTAGCTACTGTTACAATGGGCCAATACTGTTTGATAGTGTTGACCCCTGCTGCAACTTTTGTACTGCTTCTACTGTCAGTCCATCCCCAGCATGTTCACTTTTGGGGATTTTTCGTACAAATGTGCTGGCAAACTCTGTGGCACCTTCTCATCCAGTACAAGGAGCACTGGCTTCAGGAATCCATAGACAACAGGTAATGTGTTACATTAATATTGTTTAAAATTTTTTTTGATAGAAATGTTTCAATTATTTTTTCATTATGTTGAGACACAGATACTTCTGGCTTTAAAGGGAACTGGAGTTCCAATTTCTCAGAACGTTATAGAGAAAAATACACATTTTGAATTAAGCACAAAATTGAACTTTGTAAAAGTACTGTAAGTTGCCATGTTGTCGCAAACTCACAGTTGAGTTCCTACAAACTAAACGATGTGAATTGGCCTTTCCTGCTCACTAGTCTCCATAATGACTAATGTAATGCAATGTATGAGCAAATAAGTACAGGTTGTACAGCAGATACCTCACCGCAGAAATGTTCCAAGGTGATCTGCTTGGTGTTAACAAGAAGGTAGTATTTGTCTGCAAAACCATTTCAAAATGGAGAGCAATATTTCTAGTGGATTAAAAGAGATGTATTTACAAGCCCGTTAACAAGCAGACTTTTGAATACATCTGTTTTAATCCAAAAGAAATATTGAAATAGGGCTGCATCACGTTACTGTAAGTTTTGTTGCCTCATTCGAAATCGCAGAACAGGCACTGCACATACCTGGAAATTTAGTCTATTTTGTGATGGAGGTTTTACAAGTTACTGTGTACATTTTACTTTTATTGTTGTTTGAAATGCACTGTAGTTCCCCTTTAATTCTACCAGTAAAGAAATAATGTATTAAAATTATTAGGTGTTTGATGACTGCACATTGGAGGGAGTATAGCATTTGTAGTGAAGGGTAAATAAATACAAATAGCCACTTCAGCCTAAAAGAATTTTGGCTTTTGTAATATATTTTATTATCTAACATGATACATTATAAAGGACACATAGGACTTAATTCATCCCTGCAGTTTGTATACAGTGAAGGGATACAAATAGAAAAAGACATATTAATGCAAACATTCACTTAAGCAAATTTCCCTCATGGGATAATAAAGCTTGAATTGAATGAAAATGCCTTAAAGATTCAAAATGATTTATACTTTGTTGACAAAGCAAAGTCGTTTTTAGAATGTTATTTGATTATTTTTTTCCTCTGCTTTTAACACAAATTCTCAAGAATTTAAAACAAAACCTAATCAGATAGGTGTGTTTTACATTATTAATGCACATGTCAAAGTGAGGTGGTGGTTATCTGATGTGTATTGCACTTCTCCCCTTTATTGTATATTTTATACTCTATTGATTGTAAGAGCAAACACATATATAGACATCTTATTAGATTTGCTGAAGACACAGACTCGTCAGTTTGTTATGAAACTCAGAATATCACCATGGACCAATTCATCCATGTGTCCAGTCTTTGGAGTTAAATGTTTTGAAAGCAAAAGAACACATCATTGATTTAAGGAAAAATATTAAAATGTCTTAAAAATAACCCTGAAAGACCAGCCTAGAGTCAGAAACCTAAAGGCCTGGAGATATGCAAATAGATACCTAAAAATCCCAATTAAAAGTATCTTGGCAGACATTGCACATTACACATTTTTTCTTAACCAAATCATCCCAGAACCATCTCTTCTATCTAGACTAGTCTGCAGTTGTACACTCTGCTCAAATGTGAATCTTAGATCACAAGTGTGCTCTAGTAATAGGTGTACTGTACCTATAATTACTTATAATGAACCTATTTCCAAGCAGTTATGATTGCTTCATTGTTTTTAGGCTCCTGGTTGCCATTTCTTCACTGATGCTGCTCACCCAGAGAGTGACATCCCTGTCGATGGATATTCAAGAGGGGAAACTTCAATCATTGCAGACCAAGGCACAGAGCTCTGTTCGTTATAACTTTCCTTTATGGATCCCATACCTTAGTTACACTCTTTTTTTTCCAGCACTGCTTGGAGGACCCCTGTGCTCTTTTAGTTACTTCAGGTCCTTTGTGGAACAGAATGGTCTCAGCTCTATTCCTTTTCCACTGGGAGCTGTTCTACAAAAAACTTTGCTGGTCTTATCTTTGGAAGGAGCCAAAACTTTTCTAAGGTGCCATTTAAGTAGCAATTCCTTAAGCCAAGCTCATTTTAATGTCCTTGAAGGCATTCTGTTCATCTGGGGTATTTCTCTGTTATATAAATTGAGTTACTATTCTCATTGGACCCTGAGCGAGTCTCTGAATAATGCAGCAGGCCTGGGGTTCAGAGGCTACAACAAACATGGCAATCCACTTTGGGATGCCTTATCTGATGGCAATATCTTGACTCTGGAGACATTAACCAGGTTATCTCATTTTGCTCGCATGTGGAATAAGACCACAGCAGAATGGCTTCGCAGACTGGTGTTTCAGAAGTGTCATGTTAGTCCTTTGTTACTTACTTTTGGATTTTCAGCTTGGTGGCATGGGCTTCACCCAGGGCAATTGGTTGGGTTTTTGTGTTGGGCTGCCACTGTAGAAGCTGACTACCGCATTCATCACTATTTAAGCCCCTATATGGACTCTAAAGTGAAGAGGCTCATATATAAAGTTCTGACCTGGTTCCAGACTCAGTTAGTGATAGCATGCATTGTTGTCATCATTGAGCTAAGATATCTTTCCTCTGTGTGGCTTCTGTTCAAGGCTTATATAGGCCTGTTCCCTCTACTTAACTGCTTGGTACTGGTTGTTCTACCTAGAAAACAACAAATTAAAGTTCTTTATTAGGCCTTGTTTCATTCATCTTTGCATTCAGTATAATTGAGCAATACGCACATGATATTGGCTTAACTGGGTTACAGTCATTAGTGTACTAAATGCTAAACATTGAAACTAAAACTTACAGTATACTACCATGATGTTAAAACTATATATATTGTATATTTTCTATATACTAATTGTATGTTTCAAAACACCTGTATAAATGCACATGACCAAAGTGCCAAATAAACATAATCAGTGGAGCCTCCTCAGCATTTACATGGTGCTTTTTGGTGTACTTCAATTTGCACTGAACCAAACTGATGAGTATTGAATTTATAAACACACTACAAAATACCTGTAGAAAAAAGGATTTACAAAAATATGGTCTGCCAGTACAACAGGTAACTGCCATAATAAAAGAAACACCAACATAAATGGTCTTAATAGGGCATTGGGCCTTCATGAGAGTTTAACAGAACAGGTTCAGTGCACCTTGGCATACATTCAGTATGCGTCGGGAACTCTTTTGGAGGAACGTGACACCATTCTTCCACGAGAAATTCCATTATTTGGTGTTTTATTGATGGTGGTGGAAAAAGCTTTCTCATATTCTGTATCTTACAGGTGATCATCTTGGTTTCAGCTTGCTGGGCCTCACTCAGTTTTCTTCAAATTAGCCTTCTGCTTGTCTGGTGATTGATCGAATCAATAGCCTGTGGCTTCTTTCCCTCATTACACAACATCTGTGTCTGTCTGAGTTCTCTTCTTCCTCTTTTTCCTTCTTCCCTTCAAGGCTTCCAGGACCTTAGGCATCACCTTCATCTGTTCTACATTCACATTTGGTGATTCTCTTTTTGCTGGCTCATCTTCTTTTCTCCATCTTCCTTTTTATAAGGGTAGGCTTGTGCATCATGCAATACTCTATACAGAATGAGCATAATGGGGCAAAACGTTTCTTTCTGCCACTTCTCTTAGATGACATTTATCCTGACATTAAGGGTTCTGATGAGATAGGGAGAGTGTTATTTTATGGCTTTCCCCTGAAAATGTTTCACTGGTTCTAAAATCTCCACAATCGTCTTTACAGTGTTTGTGGAAAAGATGTTTCCTGCCCTCTGTTTTCAGCCATAATGGAGTTCTGGGATCCCACATTCATTCGAAATCCAATTTTGTTTTAATTAAAAAAATAAAATTCCCTCAAACTTACATTACAATAGCCACAAGAGTGTACAGTTTCCCAGATCACAGCCTATGCCCACATCCTTCACCAAATTTGACACACCTGACGGTTGGTCATCATTTAATAAGTAGGTCTAGGTAAACAAAACAGAACAAAGAGCATAATCTGCTCTTTGAGAAACTAACTAGGCTACTTCCTATTAAAAGCAAACTAGTCAAGTGAGTGAGCACAGCAGGACGTTTTCATAGATTCCTGTGGGATGTACTGTACAGTTTCATGAAAAAGTATTCACCCCCTTCAGGTTTTCTGAATTTTTGCACATTTTCTCCACTGACTGTAAATAGACCTTCATGTGGGTCCTGATGATATATTAATGGAGCGTAAACAAACAATACCAAAACAAACAATACCAAACTTTGGTGCTTGTTTTATTTATTTTAGAAACAAAATCATCTAATGATTCAGTCACATTCATTACTATAGCAATGTACCTAACTTCAAGAAGTATACAGAAAGTACTGTTAAAATCCAACAGTCATCCATGCCCCCCATCATCATGTTGAGGAATTTTGAATTTGTATTCCTCTCATATGGTTAAATCTTTCAGATGTGAGATTAAGTGATAAGTAATTAAACTACACTCACCAGCAGGTGTCAATACGTACAAATTTAACAAATGATCAGTGACTGCAAGAAAATAATTTGTATTGCATCAGAATTTTCTGAGTGGGAGAGGGATCCTTCTGAAAGCATAATAATAGGATTTGAAATTGAACTGAAATGAACACAAAAAACAGGTGACACAAAACTAATATACTTAATACAAACAGTAAATTGGTAGCACAAATCCGGGCCACTGGGGAGAGCCAGAACCTAACCTGGCAAGCAACAGGCACAAGGCAGAGTACACCATGGACATATCTACACCATGGACAGTCTATTGTAGTGTACACACAGACATATTCGCACCAGGGCCAGTTTTCCCAGAAGCAAATTTGGTGTTGGGAATGTGATGCTGGCCAAAGTTGTCAGTCTCAAGGCCCTACAAATCTAGAAACAATACATCTTGAGCAACAGAACTGAAAGCACACTGGGGGGGGTTTCTCCCAATGTTCAAAGTTTGATTTGGGAACTGGAAGAATTCCACAGTCTGAAGAGTACAAATGATGTACAGATGTATAGGGAGTTAACAGTTCACTGATGTAGTCAGGAGCAAAGTTATTCAGATAACCAGCAATAAATTAACTTTTATTCAGAAATTAAAAGGGAGGCAATGCGAGGAAGCTGAAAAAGAAGTTGCTCAAGCATTTTAGCTTGAGTTAAATTGAAGAAGCCTAATTTCTAAAATACTTCAAAGTCTTAAAAATATGCTTGGATTCATCAGCAAACACTGTGTAACAGTATCGAACCTGAAAAAGACAAAAGCATGATAGCAAAAGATAGCATCTTATATTTCTGTCCTGAATACTTGGACGGATTCCAAGATTTACAAAGATGAGAAATCTCTCTACACTGAATTTATTCTGAGCTTCAGCACAATCTCCTAAATTAGAGGCTTTATATAACTTATTTTAGGGACTTTGAAAAGCCACGCTCAGGAAACTCAGAATGTGAACAGAGGAAACAAGAGAATTTCAATCTCTTCAAGATACACACCAAGAAAATAAATCACAAGGTACCAAACCCATAAGTATGAATTAGATATAAATAACAGGTGTGCATGTTGTTGGAATATTCACTTCATTCAGTGATTAATTGTTGATCATTTTTATTTCTGACTTCATAGCCTTAATTTACAGAATGAGATAGTGAGTGACTCATTAATAAAGGAAACTTACTCAGATGACTACTTACTTAAGGTTCCACACTGTGTGAAGCTTACCAGATGTTTCTTACCAGCATATGCTAGCTGTAAATGTAGTCTGAGAAATGTTGCAGGTTTTTAAAAATGGACAAAAGACCAATGTCTGTGTCTTACTGTGTTATGTTCATATTTCAAAAATGATTTTTAGAGGTGAGTTTGTACATAATACAGAAAGTACTTTTATGCAAGCTTTTTTGTAAACTCATGACAGGAATTCACCAACCACAAGTATTCTGGGACCAAACTTTGACCACATCAAGTGTATTGCCAAAGCATATTTAAATGCTGAAACATCCCTATTCATCTATTCCTAAACAGATCTGAATTGTATAACACCACATAAAAAACAACTGATACATCTGATATAATACAAAAGTAACAAAATCAAAACCCACTGAATATTTTGCTGTAAATAAACACAGCATGCAGACACATTTCAACTATGGGATAACTGGTTGCAATACTGAAGAATGCATATGAACATATTTATAAACGGATTTGTAGTACTCTCCTTCTTCACAGAAACAATGACATTTCTATAAAACAAAGGTGTCACAATAGGCAAAGTTGTGTCTTTGAGTTACTGTAAAAATAAAAGTTCACAATGTTTAATATTTCTTGTTTAATATAGGGTAGCGGAAATACAGAAAATTAGAAGAATAAAAGTGGTAAACATGTTTTTTGTCAGTATTGTTAATTTATTACTGCCTATAGCCAATATGTGCTTAAATATACTCATAATATTGTGTTTAAAATACAAATAAGTGATAAATCAGACCAAAACCTTTCCCACAAAAAGTGAAGCTAGAAATGATCAGTCAGATGTGATATTCGTCAAAAAGAGAACGCTGGTAGCAAAATCAGCCTACAGTTTTGTTAACAGTTTAAGCAAATTGAGTCCTCTACGTATAATGACTGAGATGGCAAGTTTCCACACGAATGGGAAGGCTTTGTCAAGATTATATTTTATTTATCTGTGATATGTAAGATTTTTATAGTGGGTATGGAATTGTCAATTCTGAGTTCTCTGCTCACTTATGATCCTTGTACCATAATAATAATAATAATAATAATAATAATAATAATAATACATTCCTTATGCTTATACAGTATAATGCTTTTCTGGACACTCCACTCAAAATGCTTTACACAGGTAATGGGGACTCCCCTCCACCACCAACGTGCAGCATCCTCCTGGATATTGCAACGGCAGCATAAGTGCGCCAGAACACTCACCACACATCAGCTGTTAGTGGGGAGAAGAACAGAGTGATGGAGCCAATTCATAGACGGGGATTATCAGGAGGCCATGATTAGTGAAGGTCAATGGGAAATTTGGCCAGGTAACACCCCCACTCTTTTCGAGAAACGCCCTGTAATTTTTAATGACCACAGAGAGTCAGGACCTAATTTTTACGTCTCATCTGGAGGATGGCACCTTTTTACAGTATAGTATCCCTATCACTATACTGGGACATTAGGACCCACACAGACCTCAGGATGAGCGCCCCCTACTGCCCCTCTAATGCTTCTTCCAGCAGCAACCTTAGTTTTTCCCAGGAGGTCTCCTATCAAGGTACTGACCAGGCTCACACCTGCTTAGCTTTAGTGGGTTCCCAGTTGTGAGTTGTAGGGTGATATGGCTGCTCGCAAAACAAACTTCAGGTTTCATTGGGATTTGAACCCACAACCATGTGGCCATGAGTATAAAGATTTAACCCTCTACTCTATAGAGTCAAACAGTTGCTGGTGCTGGGGAGATAGCAGTGGAGGTGTTTAAGTACAGTGTATACTTTTAATCCAACATACGCCATATAAGTCATTCACCATTTAACACACCGTGAGCCCCACAGTTTCTACAGTAATGCTAGCATCACTTGTAGAAGTGGTGCAGCTCTTGGTCGCAACACTGCAAGTGCACGGACACCCAGCAAAAAAAGCCCTGTCCAGCTCAAGTTCACACATCCCCTGCAGTTTTTGCCCAATTTGTTCAATTACCCTCTTGAAGAATAACAAATCATAAAAACTACCCTAGTTCATGTACATCATTTCCAACAATCACTAAACAGAACATTAAGCTTAAACATTACTCCTATCCTGGAGTCCTTGCACTGGCTTCCGGTCACATTCCGCGTAGACTTTAAAATCCTCATGCTCACCTATAAGGCTTTACATGGCTTGGCACTTCAGTACCTGTCTGAACTATTATCGCCCTACTCCCCACCTCGCAACCTCCACTCTTCAAATTCTGCCCTCCTTACTGTCCCCCAAGCCCGTCTACATTGTATGGGTGACAGGGCCTTCTCCTGCTATGCCTCCAAGCTCTGGAACTCTGCCCAAGGATATTAGAGAGTCACCTTCTCTAAACTCCTTCAAATCCAGACTCAAAACCTTCTTCTTCAGAAAAGCCTTTACTTAACTGGTTCCATTCTTCACCCCTCTGCTCTTCTTAATACCACCTTCCACGGTCTCCTCTATTGTTATTGTTGTAATTATAATTGTGTCCTATCTTGTGAAATCTTCTTATTTATTGCTGTAGTCTTCTTATTTATTGTTATTGTCATCCTGTAAAGTGCTTTGAGAAGCCACCTTTAAAGGCGCTATATAAAATAAAGTTTATTATTATTATTATTATTATTATTATTATATTAAGCTCTATCAATTTGATCAACTGAAGATGAGTACCTTTGGCAATGTAGCAGTGTATCAAATTCTCCTCTGACAAGTGGTTTTTCCTTCTTCTTATGTTGCATTTGCTATTTCAGCTTGTACACTTGAATAAGGGTAGTTTTGAAACTCAGGAATTTGCACAGCTCTGATACAAGTTGTAAGCCCCATACAACTTTTTAAAATTTGAATGAAAACAAAAATGTTAAATACTAATTTTATAGATCATTGAAATACATTTCAATAGATTTATCTGGCTACAGCAAAAACTTCAAGGTATAGTGATTAAAATTGTCAGGGTTGCAAACTCAGTTAAATAAGATTTAAACAACGGCAATGCACTTCCAGTAATACCAACAACCCTCTCTTATCTATTCAGAAAGATAATATGATCAATGGTATCAAAGGCAGCACTGAAGTCCAGCAGGAGAAGAATGGACAAAATAGCAGTCAGCGATCATCAACGATAAAAGGTTAAAAAAAGGAACAGAGCTCTGAAGCTAGTATATAAAGAAGATAGTTTTGAAAGTGAGATAATAAATTCTGTTTTCTGCAGTTTATGTTTTTAATGAGCAACTTCGTTAAGGAATTTAACAATGTTGGGGAGAAAAATTAGGGAGCAAGGGTTGACCCTAATCTCCCACACGTCTGCTTCCCTGCATGAGTCTTGATAACTGGGACTTCCCATACCTAAGACGGTCTTCCATCTTTCTTAGGGACTCCCTAAGAACTATAACAAAACAATTCTCAATGTGTTTTAATGAAGAATAATTCTGAATATCTATGAGAGTTTTTATGCAGTTATTAATGGTGCAGTCTGTTAGGAAAATGTGTTTATTTCCCAAGTAATTGTTTGTATTCCAGTGTGTTCTTCATTCTAATTGACTCACAATCTCTAAATTCTCTGGTAGAAAAGTATTTGACAGTAATTTCTCTTTTACTTTCTTATGCCCAAACTATTGATAACATTAACACATGCAGAAGTGTAAATTCTGATGAGATTTGTATCTAATAAGAGTGATTCAATGTCTAGTTATGCATTTCAGAACTTTTCCTCAGTTACTAAAGTGCCTTTGCACTTTTCTCCACAGTTCATTCATGAAAAGGCTTTCATTTTGTGATAGCTTAAATGATGGCAGTCGGGTGGATGTTGGTCAAGAATGTCCAGTTCCTTCATCAAGGATCTCCACAGGAATGCTATTGTATCAGTTGACGTTTTTGATTTTTCATACTGCCATATGTACAGTAAAACATTATTTAGAGCCTCTACAAACTACATGGAAATTGAAGCTCATACTGAATTCAGCACTGCCTTTAGTCTAATTCATATATTATAGAAGATAGCTTTTGAGGTTTCAATGCAATGGATAAAAGGTAGACATATACTTAGAAAATCAGATGGCAGCACAAACACATCAGCTCTCTAAACATATATAAAGGTACACATCATTCAAAATTGGAATAACTCCATAAAAACTCCATCATGAAACCTTTGACAAGATTAAACTGAAAGGCATAATGCAAGATGTTTAAATATCCAAGTAGAAATAGTACATAACTGCCTTGATCTAAGTGGTGTGCTCAGCAAGATGTTACTAAAGATTTAAATAAATAGAACAATATTTACTTTTGCTGATCAAAAGATGTAAAGCCATCTTGTGTAACACCACTAGTCTATATTCCACAACAATGAAATCCGCCAAGGATGCAAGAATCTTTGAATATTTATGAGGAATATTACACAGAACAAAAGTCATTCCACCTATGAGGAAAAAAATCACCGCCAGACATATTTCACTTTGTTGAAAACTTTAGACTTTGCAAAGGCCTGGCAAAAACCTCTAGTATTATCTGGATCAGAATGTGACAATGAATTTCTATCATCCTAAAGATTCTTTCTCTAACAATCAGTGATTAGATATTTGGCAAAGATACAACTGGCCTTAGTTTAATGGCATACTGGATATAAAATCCCTTCTGTTCACATGTTTTTAAACTAAAACTTGTAAAATTTCATGAGATGACAGTAAGTCAAATTGTAACTGGTCCTATCACCTCCCCCCTGTAACTCATTGTTACAGTCATTCTCTATGTCATCAGCAGTATGACTCTGAACAACCATAAAGGCAGTTTAAGTAAGGCTGAACATCAATCTTAATTACACAACAATACCAAAGGAATCTAGACAAATTATTTACTAAATTAAAGTTGTAGAGAAGATGGAATGAACAGGGGTGCAAGCACACAACAGGCTGCTGATGTGCCTTCCAATTAATCATTAGATTAACATATTTAAAATGTTAGCACTACGGTTCACCTATCCTTCCATGTTCATCGGCGCTGGAGACATTTGTTAAAAAAGTCTCAGTTAAAGAAAAGAAACAAGATTAATTCACAACCTGAAGGGGATGTCATATAGACAGGGTAAAGTAACAATGTTTTCAGTCTTGAACAGAGGTGGCTATAAGTGTACTTGTTGAAGTATTTAAAATCCTGAATGGTACTGACAATGTCAATACTTTAGAATCAATAATGAAGCAAGGACCTGAGGACAGAAGTAGAAAATAAGCGTGACATCTCCTGCTTCCCATATGTCCCCTTTAAGAAGTTGTAAACCTTTAAAAAAAAAACCTAACCACTCACCTGTCCCATCCAATCATTATTTCACTATTATAGGACCTTCTTCTCCTTCATTCTTTGCTCAGTATTTTGGTAGCTCACCCCAAATACTCTCTTGTTTATGTAATCGCTCCTGGTTTTTTTTTACTTGTTTTTCCCCCTTTTGACTTTGCTTTTCGGATTATGTCTCTGGCTTGCTGTTCTGGACTACTCTTTCTGGTTTTGTGGACTAAAGGACTTTTTTCTGTTTTTTAACTTTGCCTTTTGGATTATGATTTGGATCAACTACGCTCGCTATAGATTTTCAGATTTGTATTTTAGGATTCGGCTTATTACTCGGTACAGGATCTCCCAATACTCTTCTGACATCCTTAACAATAAGAGAATGTGCACTTATAAGTGCAAACAAAGGACTTGGGTTTCGCAAATTCCCTTTGGGATCCTTAAATAAAAGGCTGTATGGATCTTGGATCTTTTGATCAATGAACTACAGGCAACCAAACAACCAAAATGACCTCTGGCTTATAACTTTGTATGTTCTCATTAGGACTTTTATCACTCTTTTATTATAATGCCAGATATACAAAAGAACAAAACCTCACAAATAGGGAAGGAAACACAAAATGTAATTCAAAGAAGACTGAAAACATATTTACATTTTATTTGCAAATCTAGTTGAAACATTAAATTACTAAAGGATATTTCAAAGTTATAAGCAGGATATATAGAAACAAAAATAGTACATTTTAAGATTATGTGCAGCAATTTGCTATTATCAGCAAATTTGTAGCTTCAGAAAAGCTGTGCTGGTTCAGTAGTTTGTCCATGCAATCAACAGGAAAAGAGTCCTTGTTAAGGAAAACCAACATAACCTCTTAGTACTATATACTGTAGCACTATAGATAAAAATGAAACATAAGAAGAGCGGTTGTTTCATTAGGTACTTAAAATGATTAAAATCAAGACAACAAAAAACAAACAATCCAGTGGTAAGTAATAAAAATACAATGGATTTTTACAAGTATCTTCGTACATGACCTGATTCATCGTACTTAAGACATTCTTGGCTCTTTGCTTGTTCGGTGACATATATATTTTAAAATTCTGACTTGAAAAAAGATTAATAATGACATTTCAAGTCACGTACCAGTGGTTTCAGATTAAGATGTGATCAAGTGGGGTTGAAACCAAGTTCTCCAGTTCCACTGAATGACAGAGAACAAATTGCACTGTAACCCATACAACTAAAAAAAACAAAACATATGTCTATGAATTTAGTAAATTCACTCAATTCTACTTGCAGTATTTGTTAATTTTCGGGACTATCTTAATTCAGACAGATTGCCTGAAATTCTTTGTTCAGACATTAATGTGCTTGTAGATGCTTGGTTGTTCTAGGGCTCAATCCATTTCTTTAGCAGAGTTCCAAAATACTAGTCTCATCTCATTTTGACCATAGAGATAAATTAAAAAATGTTGTTATTGTTTATCTGTAATCTGTAATCAGAATTCTTGGATGCAAATGTGTCTTGTGAATTTACAGGTCATTTCGAGAAATACAGCAGCTCAGCAGTGTGGGAGAGAGACACTGGGTTGGAAGAGGAAAAATACTGGCAGCAGAGCCAGTCCTCTAGCTCAGTACCCTGCTCTGGCTCCAGAGACCTCTCAGCAAATTTCATCATCAGAAGGGCCCTCTTGACATCCAGCCAGTTCAACAAACCCTCATGACGGACCAGTTCACCAGGCCTTTCCCACTGTTGCTCCATCAGGTCCCTGCGAGGGCCCCACAGCAGGCACTGCAGAATCCGCTTAGCCTCCTGGATGTGGATGCGCTTGATGGGATCGGGTTGGAGCAACAGGCGGGATAGCTGCTGCAGGCCAGAAGAGTAGATGGAGAGGACGGGGATTGGAGGCAGGTCCTCGCAGTAGTACTCCTGCTCCTTCAGTTTAGGGCTCACTTCAAAGGGGTTGGGCTGGTGGAGGAGCTCATAGATGAGGATGCCTGTTTGGAACTCGTCAAACTTTTTGTACTGCGTGGCTGAAACTATTTCGGGTGCCAGTCTGGCATGGTCCTTTTTGAATTTGGGATCGCAGGCAACATCGTCAGCTGCCCTCTGCTTCGCCTTTGCGAAGCTGCTGATGAGCAGCCGAGGGAGTTGCTTTTGATCCTTGTTGTCTCTGAGCTGGCTGTGATGAACCAAAAGAAGGTTCTCCAGGCAGAGGTCACGGTGGGTCACACCACGCTCTTTCAGGTGCTCCAAGCCATTGCAGAGCTGCAGCAGCAGGAAACAGACACGCCGCTCATAAACCTCTGGCTGGGCATTGTGGAAGACGGCCCATTCTCTCACAAAGTCTGCTGCACTCTGGTGTGGCACCTCCCGTGTGATCACCACTACTCGTTCCTGCTCAACCTGCCCTGCTGGCTCTGCAGCCTCATCAGGGGGCAGCATGCTCTGAGGGACACAAGCAATGAAATGTCCACAGTCCTGCTGCAGATTGAAGTGAGGGAACAGGGTCTGCTGCACAGCCAGGCCATAAAGATGACCCTGCTTGGCATCTGGAGTCTGGCTTTTACAGATCTGCAAATGGGAAATGAGGACATGTTAAGTTCAAGACTAAATCCTAGTGGGCTAACATATGTTCAACATATATCAATTTTTGTTCACCCTTTTCTAAGATAAACCACAAAACAAATTTCAATAAAATTCCAAATCTCAAACTTCAATGTTAAAGATACATTTTCAATGGCAATAGAAGAAAGAATAGGAATGATTCTCAATATATTTCTTTTTCTTGTGTAACCACGTGATGAGGTGGGGACACATTAGTCAGGAATTGTCTAATTCCATATTCATCTCTGACAACCTGCAGTCCCTGAATACACTTTATTAATAAAGTGTATTCAGGAACTGCAGGTTGTCAGAGATGAATATGGAATTCTGTTAGGTATATGTGTTAAGCCACTAGGTTAAAAAAATGTCTTTTGGGAATTAAGTGTATTGTAATAGAAATTCAGGTGGGTAGCTGCGTCAGCATTCGAAGGCTGCAAAGGAACATCCTATCATCCTGCCCTATCTTTCATATACCCGAAGAAGGCTTCACAGCCAAAACGTTGTGTTTTCTTCTCTTTTCAGCATGGAAAAAAACTATTACTTGTTCCTCTGTAATAGTAATGTTAGTTGTGTCGTGTTTAAATGTGTTATAGTATAGTAAAAGTTTTAAACGGAAAAATATAACATCTGTGAGACAGGTGTTAGATCTCGCCACCAGCTTTTAGTGTTTCCAACTTGTAAATATCTCTGGAAACCCTCCCATGTTTTTTTCTAATTTTTTAGAAAATAACCTCTTAAAAGGAATCCCGCTTGAGTTCCTTCTGCGTGCGCTGGTGGAACCAGCTGTACAGGTGCCACTATTGAAAGGGACCTGCTAGACATCGCCACAGCCAGGCAGAATAGGGACTGTAATGTTGACGCTGTCAGGAAGTCACTCAGTGTGTTTATAGGAGTTCTTAAACCAACACTACTAAGCAATCATAGCCAGTTTTTATAACCTACTCTCCTTAAGACAGGGCTACACTTGGAAAAGCAAATGAAGCACAGTCCTTGATGAAGCAAATGAAACACAGTCCAGTTGAATGAAGAGCAAAGCATACCTTGTGGATTCAAAAGTCAAGACAAAAGTCTTTTAAGCCATTCAGAACTGGTTTGAGTTCCATAATCGAGGTTATCCTGGATACATATAGGCATCATTTCTAATCAGGAATGCTGGGATTTTTATACTATGTCATGGCTACATACTTCAAAAATAACACATTTGTGGTAATATAGTTTATCTTTGTCTCAAACTAGTCTGGCAAAGCTTCTATTCACATCCACTCATTTTGCTGCATAATGTATATTTCAAGTAACTGGGTGTCAATCTGATTTCGTGGACTGGAGAATTTAACCAAACAACACTGGTTTTAACCAAAAATCTCAGGATAATAATTATGCCTCTCTCATGGGATTTATCTAAATATATATAAGTAATTAGCACATAGGTACTGTATATATTTATACATAATGCTTCAAAATGCAGAATTCCCACATTAATCCTGAGGAATGTCATAGTTCAGTTTCAGAAGATTTGCTATTTTGTCATACTATGATAAATATCAAGGTTTTAAGGTTTCCAGAGCTTTTTTTAGAATGGCAGAGGTTAAAAAAGCCTATGGCCCTTGTAATAATACTGCAAGAAAGTGCATTTAAGTCCCTTACCTTAACAGCATAGGTATTCTTGGGATCTGAAGCACAAGAGGCAGAGTAGTAGACAGAATCACCAGCATCACAGCAAGGCTTGTTGCAGGTCAGCTTGAAGAGAGACCAGTTGCTCTCATCAAAGCGTAGTGGGTTTTTCTGACTGCGGGCAAAGTGGTCCTCACACTTGAGAGCCAGGCGTCGCAGAGACTCTGCGTACAGCCCACCCAACTTGGAGTAGATGCCCTCCCGGCTATCAATATTGCTGAGAAGTGTCTGGAGGTGAAGGCTGGAGCCTGAACTGGGGGCACTGAGCTGGGGTGAGGAAGAGGAGGAGACCCCGGACCTGTTGTGTGGGCCCAGGCGATTCCTGTTCTTTCCCACTGCCTCATCCAGTGTTCGGGAGCGCAGCTGGCGGCTCAAATGAGGATGGCACCTCTCTAGAGACTCATTGGAGGAGTACAAATGCCGCTGGTCCACTGGACTGGAGGGAGAGCTGAACTGTGTTCCATCTTGGCAGCAGACATTACCTTCCGAGCTACTAAAGTTCAGGTGAGGATTTCCCCTTTTGCCTGCAGAGCCATCTGGGGCAGACACGGTCCTGTTTACCAGCTTTTTCTCTGGGAGAGGAGGAGGCAGCAGGGACCGACCAGGGCTGTTCGAGGTTTCAGAATGAGGGGAAACTGGGGAGGAGGTCAGAGGGCTGCTGGGGATGTGGGATGGGCTCAGCAGATTAGATGTTTCCTGGTAACCTAGAAATGTGGAGAAAAAAGCTATTGACAAACAACCCTTCTGGAATCATAGAACAATTTGGCCCAAACCCATTTCTTCAGGTAACTATAGATCTTAAACTTTGTTTAAAATAAGGAAATGTAGGGCTCTTGAATCAACCCTCAACTCCCTATTCCAATGGACCCACAGGGCAATGGCCTTAAATTTCAATATAAAAATACACAGCCAAACACCTTCATATTAATAAAAAACTTCTAAACCACAGGATTTGAGGTTCTCTACACTACCTTTCACAATCTGCTCTTTTTCTATGTTACTCATCTTGGCACCCATTAACCTTAAATCCTTAAGACCACTAATATTATCAGATGTTTCTCTTGCCCACAATGCATCATTTTATGTAACTTTCAGATCACTCTTTCTAGTTCTTTGTCTTTCAGTTTCCGTCTCCGCCCTCTAAATCAAAGTACCTCTCCATGTAGTTTTGCAGTTTCCTTAGTGAATATGTGTATGCATCTTTTTATAATTTAGAACATCCTAATTGGCATTGCGTGTTTCATGCTACACATCAATATGTTTTTGTTAGTGATGATTTGCAATATGCAATGCTTTCACTGTTTTCACTGAACTGGTTGTGGATCTGATTTTTAAAAGTGATAAAGAGAATTCTTCAACTGAAAACAGAGATTTCTAAAACTTTTATCACCTCTTTATTCTGTTTTTTTATTGTAGTTTCATCTACTTTAAAAGAACATCACAGCCTTTTAATTTTTCAAATATTTGTCAAAGGAGCCTGGGTTTAACTAGTTCCCTGATTTATACAGTTCAACAGAATATGTGTAAAATGCCTGTACAAAATGTTTCACATACTCTTGAGAACATACAATTTAAATATCTTCTGTAACTGGCACTAAAAAGGTGGGGCATTAAAGTGATTTTCATTAAAATCTCCATGCATCATGCAAAAATGTCAGTCATCCACTAAGCCATGCTGGATTGTTTTTATCTTAGACATGATTGCTTCCAGCTCCTTTACAGACCAAAACAATGTTCTGAATGCCATTCTGCAGTTTGACAAGTTTTGCTATTTTGTCATACTAACTTCCCAGAGCTTTTTTTAAATAATGGCAGAGGTGAAAAAAAATCTATGGCCCATTATAATATTGTGAGAAAATGCACTTATAAGAGTGGTACTTAAAAAAGAAAAAAAGAACTGTGATCAGAGAACTACTGACATTGACAACTTGAAAGCTATGAGTATTAATGTGAAGAAACAATAGAAGTGTCCTGTTTGGGCCTTAAAAAGATAAGTTACCCTCAAATAATTCTTGTTAAAAATGACACCTGAGCATACCCATTATAATAGTGCCTTGGTCATAAAAGGAAAATAGTACATACATTATATAGTTAACATTAAACAATGGAAATTGAAGCAAACATCCTTCTCTCCTAAGAGGGGTAGGCATAATCACTGCGGTGCTACAGACATTATAGCAGTGATGGTATAAATGCTGCCAAACCCCTTATATATCACTATTCAACGGAACGACTCACAGAAATCAAACTAAGTGATATATATTATATTGTGGAAAAGTTTGTATTATATCCGTACTGCTGGAGTAATGGCATCATTGAATCTATACCAGAAGCATGATGTGCAAGGCAGGTCAACATTCTGGACATGATACCAATCTATTTCAGACACACAGGACAGAGACAGATGTTTTTTAGAGACCTCATTTGACCCAGCCAGCGTGTATTTGGGTGAAAACCATAGCACCCTGAGAAAACCTTACACAAACATGGGGAGAGCATGCAACAAAAGAAACCTAGGTAAAGAATAGAATCCAAGATCCAAGAGCTGTGAAACAGCAGCACTAACTGCTACAGCACCATGTTACCAAAGGTGATTTAATTTTTTTTGGATCCAACTATGGTTTCAACAAGATAATGATCCAAAACAAAATGTTAATCAAGTTCATGCAGTATTGAGAAGAAGGAAGGTGTAATGCTGTTTACACTTTTAAAGTTAGTTAAATTGAATTTGTTTGAGTGTACCCTGATGTGGACTGGCATACCATCTAGGGTGAATCTCGCTTCCGCACACTGTTTGCTGGGGAGAGGCACCAGCTCCCCAGTGACCCTGCATTCGATAAAGCAATTAGAAAATGGATGGATGGTGGTAAATCTAGGCAAAAGATACACTTAACTGAACAGACAAAATAGGTAAGCAAGAGGTCCATAGCCACAATAAAAGATGCATAAATTGAGTAAAATAACATGCAATGGCAGAAATTAGTTCCTTGGGTCTGGTAAATACAGGACACTTGTGATAGCATTCATTTTGATATTTTAAATTAAAGAACATAAGTCTTAACTTCAACTTGTTATTTCCAATACAAAACTGTACATTACCATCTTAAAGAAAAAAAACTAAATTCAGTAACCCTTGCATGGGCTGAAACAGTTTAGACCACAAATGACTGTATCTAGCAGCTGCTATGTAACTGTGAGATGCCTCTTGGCTCCCTGCATGCATTTCCCTGGCACCCACCTCCTGGTGTCTCTGCACCTTCTCATCTTTGAGCAGAATCATTTTCCTTAAGAAGCAGCTAACCCATCTTATGTTGCACAAGTGTTTATTCCTGTTGCCCTCTGCTGCTGGGCAATGGGATTCTTATAAGTCTGTACTGTCTCTTCATAGACACACTCACACATACGCAAATGCACACGGTTCAGGAAATGCAGTGCCGCAAAGCTAAACAATGTTGCAACAGCCTAACAGTAGGAGACTGCCTGAAACTGCCAAGGGGTTTTACTATTCCAATTGTCAACTGTAAAATTGTATTACTTCTCAATCTTCAATAGGTGAAACACAACAAAAGAAAAGAACTCACCAAAAAAGCAGCACAGTGATAAAGATTTAATGCTACATAAAAAGTATGTCCAAAACCAGATATAATAGCACCGTTGATGCTGAAATTGGTTACTCATTCAAAAAAGAAAAGACACATTTTCATCCATAGATTTTAAGAAGCTGCTTTATACTTAGATTTGGTAAGTTGTGGTGTCGATGCAGGGTTGCAGACATGAAGTAGACAAAAACAATCAGCATTTTTGGGGGGGAAAGGTAGTGAACTGAGAAAACAAAAATCCATGACTGTTTTGACTACATGTGCTAATGGGAAGCTGATTACCAGAACTGGAGCCATGTGTACCCCAATGTCTGAAGATATTCATTCCTATTGAGCCCTTAATCATGGGTACTATTTTATTTTAATTTTCTGTGATGCCCTTAAATTTTCTTTTAGCTCTTAAAAAGTCCAATGGGATTTGTAATGGTATGAACTCTGTAATGGTATTTAATAGTGAGCTTCTGAACTGCACTCATCCAGGTGTGCTAGCTGAAATACAACTATTGGTCTTGTCTAGAAGGAAAGAAGGAAAAAGTGACTCACCGAGAGAATCATCTGATACAGTGTCATTCCCATCCACATCTTTTCATCATCAACTGATTACCGTTCAAGAACATTTAATTTAGATATATGGGTGCTAGTACAGAAAGTTATTCGTGTTGAAGTTGTTTGAGATTGAGGTATGTTTGGAACCAAGGAAAATTAGTGCAGAAAACATTAGTCTAAACCAGCAGGCAGATCACTTAAAGACACCAATCAGCACTGGTGATTAATGACCTAGTTGAAATAAAAATAGCAGACACAGGTGTACCCCAGAACCAGGATTGAGAACCACTGACCTAAAAACTATGGTCAATAATTTCGTATAAAAGGGAAGTTATTGATTTTATCTTTTGCAAACCCAGATTTTTAGACTATTTCTGGGAAAGAGATCAGGAAGTGAAGTGAAACTGAAGATATCAATGTTAAATGCTTCTTGTTATTATGGTCTATAATTTATCAATTCCTCTGTAAAAGAAAGGGGAAACAAGAAAATTCTGAACTTTACATGCATCACTAGAGATCAAGTTTCTAAATATATCCCCATAGTAATGATTCATGTTAACAGACCAGATCTCAAGCAACTTTGAAGGGTTACTTAACATTTATGTGCAGGTAATGGTGTACACTGGAATCACTACTAGAAAACTGTCCCACTAGATTGCCTTACAAATGCTACACAATTTAACAAAAAAAAATGTTAAAAGTAACCAGAGCTTTTCATATACTGTAAAGGCAGAGCATCACCTGAAGAGTTGAGGAAAATCCTGGGCATGATGGTTTCACAAAGAACACTAATGACAAAGTCATTCCAGTTCACAAGTCTCCCAAATTATAGCATTGTGAGTTGCAACAAGGAGGAGTCTGGGTGTTTAATGTTGTATTATCCTCCATGGAAAAGACATACAATTAGTGGCGAGACCACGAACTACTTCCTTACGCAGAAGAGACCATAAAAATGCAATGGCCATTCTGTATGATAAAGCAGTTTAAACTGCAGACTATGAGAGGGTAAGGATTTAGCCTTGATTTGAATCCTCGGGACTTACTGATTTAACTGTCAGAATCTCCCTCAGAGAAAGTCCTCCATGGGGGAAGGGTTACTGTGGCTTGGCTGTTCTGGGTTGTGAATTGACGGCCTAATGAGGAGAAATCTCATCTGGTTCAGTACAAGTAAAAGGAGAAAAAAGTGGTTCCTCTTGAATTCAAAACAAATTCAGAAGGGAAGAAAAAACATAAAAGCTTCTGTTTGTATAAGAAACCTTGTTATTGTTGCCTATTGTTTAAGGGTTTTCTTTTGTCCATGTGCATGAACACTGATTCATAGAACAAGTCTGCTGCATTTTTTTGCAGTTCTTCTCTAATAAAATGATTTTACATTATAAGTTATAGCTAAAACAGATGCCAGAAGTCAATACTTATATGCCAATTTACTTTTAATAAATGAAAACAATTCTGAACATTTATTATAATGTAAACTACTTTATTTGATATTTCCATAAATAAATGTATAGATAAATATTATATAGTTTATTAAGCTGTGAGCAGTGCCCTTTTATCTTTAGTGTAAATATGGTGGGTAAGCTACTATAACAGTGCTTACTGTATTGTCAGCTCATGTACTGTTTATGTCTACTCATGGCAATCACAAAGTTTCTGATCAATGAGCATTAAAGATTACTAAATGATAAGATTTGTTTCTTTTCACCCAAACTAAGCTATTTTATCAGCCAAAACTGTTAAAAACAATACTGTAATAACACCTAATGAGTAAATTGTTGATGCCCATATATATTTAAATTATTGACTGAGTAAGACAGGAAAGTCCAATGCTGGTCCTGGAGGGCAGGTGTGTCTACAGATTTTCATTCCAACACCACTTTTAACAATGTTTTAAAAAAGTAATAGGTTTATTCCATGCTGAAAAGAGAAGAACGTTTTGACCGTGAAGTCTTCTACAGGTGTTACCTGCAGAAGGCTCCATGGCTGAAACGTTGTGTTTTCTTTCTTCTCTTTTCGGCATGGAATAAACCTTTTACTTGTTCCTTTGCAGCCTGCGCATGCTGACGCAGCAACCCACCTGAAATGTAAATCAAGTTATTATTGGTTTAATAGGATCAGTTTAACCAGTTTCTCTCAGCTCCTGAGCTGTCTGCTGCTGCTTTCAAGAGACCTAGAAAATCCAACGATACATTGGCCTTTCAGGTCCAGAACTGGACACCCCTCATCTAAGGTGTTTTTATCGGATATCACCCTCCTTGAAGAAAACTCACATCAATTATTGTTATTAATAATAACAATAACAATAACATCACTTTATTAATCCTTTACAATTTCTTGCATTAGGAATTGTCTTTTCGTATACCCCAGCTTGCTCTCCATGAGACACACAGATAGAGAGAGAGCCTGGGGTCAGAGCGCAGGATCTGCCATCGTACAGCGCCCCTGGAGCAGTTGGGGTTAAGGGCCTTGCTCAGGAGCCCAACAGAGTAGGATTCCTCTGCCGGCTGCTGGATTTGAACTGGCAACCTTCTAGCCACAAGCACAGATCCTTAGGCACAGAGCCACCGCTCCGCCCAATTATGTTCTATCCATCTTCAATAACTTCTTAGACAGGGTCCTGATGGGCCAGATGCTATCCCAGCAGACAATGGGCACAAGGAACAAAGATCTTAAGTGAGATGCCAGTCCATCACGGGGTACAATTAATCCCAATTAACCTATACTTTTTGTCTCTGAACTGTTAGAGGAAACCAGAGCAACAAACAAAAAATCCAGAAAGTTATGAAGAGAAAATGCAAACTCCATACAGAAGGTACCTTAGACCAGTGTTCTCTTTCTTCTTTTTTTTTCAGCATGGAATAAACCTATAACTTGTCCCTTTGCAGCCTACGCATGCTGACACAGCTACCCACCTGAACTTAGACCAGAATTATACCCAGGATAAAAGCTGTGAAGTAGTATTCCTGTCACCATGTTGTATGTTCCACAGAGCAAAAGTTGACACTCACCAACATCACCGAATATCCTGGAGTCTGATAAGCTGTCGGAGGAGGCTGTGGCAAAGCTGCTGCCGAGACCCTTCAGGGACTGGGTAAGGCTCTCCACTGAACCATGACTGGCTTTCTCCAAGTCAGAACTGCTCTGGCTCATTTTACTAGACACTCTGCAGAAAAGGCAAAGGCATAGGTCAGTAACCATGAAATCGAGAACACATTATGCTGATTTTTATTGGTTACCATCCAAACTCCAGCATCTCCAAGTGCCAAACAACTCCTATGCTACTTAGATTCAGTTGCAATTCAGTTAGAAATTCTGCTAACTTAACTCTTAATTTATTATATACTTTCCAACCCTCTGTTCTACATTGCACACTGGCTGCTAAAAAACTCTCACAAGTCACACTTGATAGAACACTTAAAAGTAAAAACTTAAGTAAAACTTTAAGTAAAACTTAAAAGTCTCTACAAGAGAATGTATGCACCAAAAGCACATTTTACAGGTGTTGCTCCTTCATATTGTACTACTTATATTCAGTTAGTAAAACATACATTAACTACATCTCTACAAAGTTAGTTATGTGCCCTGTACCAGTCCAATACTAGTTGTTTTTTAAACAAAACCAGTCAGAATTTTTATCTATGTGCAAGCAAACTGTACATTTACAGGCCTGATTTAACTTGTCAAAGTTGGCTCTCAGAACTCCATGAACTTTATGCGTCAAGTTGTATGCACCACAGACTTGTCAGAGCAAGTGGCACTAGCTGCCTGCGAGCTCTTTTTCATAGAACTGTCACAAATGTTTCTCAACTTCCTATTTCCTTCTTTGATCTCTGAACTATGAAGACTGTAGTCCTGCAGCCACATTTATTATAATAAGCACTGATGTGACTCTCCCAGCCCCACAAACAAATCACTTCTCCTGTGAAAAAAAAGCAAGCGTTTCACTTAAAGATTTGCTTAGCTTGCCGACTTGTTTAGTTTGGGAGAAATGGATGTGTTAGTTCAGAGACAAAAATATCTTTAAAATCCAGTAGATTTATCTTCCAATTAAAATAATAAGAAATTATGAGATCACAACAAAACATCAACATAACTGGCAATGTTCTTGAACATTAAAATAAACGGAAAGTCAAAGTTTCTCTGTCACAGACCATAGGAACATAACTTCTGCCAAAATGAGGAGGCTGTTCAGCCCATCTAATTCCTTAAAGGTCAAAACAAAACAACAAAGCAGAGAGAATGCAAAGACTGGACCTAAGGACATTCATTCTAAGTAAATGAACAGGTTAGATGAACTAATTTTATCCATTAAAAAGGCCTAAACTATTTCAATTACATGACCTTACAAAAGGATTAAGTTCCCATACATTTTCTAGATTTGTATTATAATGCCTTTTTTATTTTGTTATGCAATTCTCTCTTTTGGGATGAGTGGCTCTTGTAGTCAAACACTTTTTTTATCTTTGAATATATAAAACATTCTTTCCTATATCTACACATATGCACTATTCTCTAAATATGGAGTTTTATGATATTTCAGTTTAAAGAGGATACAGTCCTTGGACATTTGTTCCTGTATGGGGTTCTAGTTCTGTGGTTCTGTGGTTTCAATCTTTTTGGAACAAGTACCACCCCTGATCAAACCAAATCATCCAAGTACCACCTACAAGTCTTCTTTTCATAGGAACCCCAGAAATTCTCAATGACCAAATTAACCTAGAACAGTTCTTAAATATTTTTCTGTTATCTATCATGCGTTCCTGTGCTAACAAGATTGCCAGCGTTTGTAGCACACATTTCTATGCATTCCTGTGCATACAACATTGGCATTGTCCAAAATCAAGCACATTCTCCTACCTCCCTATTTGCTGGAGATAACTTTTTTAAATACAATTGGTCACTTGGGTTCGTAGCACGCATTCCTATACAATGGTATAAAATTACACAGTAGCTCTGGTGTTCACTCAAGTATTAGCGTGCTGTATCATAGTACGTAGGCTGCATATTCGACACATATTAAAATAGAAAATATGAAAACCCATCCTGATTTTTCAGTGCACACAACAAAGTTCCAGGATCATATGGCGTACCAGCTGGCGTACTAGTGGTACATAAAGCAGACATAAAGCAGCCTTATTACATTGTAAAGAAGCAAACTTGCAAATACATCTCTTTTAATGTAATAGAAATATTGCTGCACACTTTGAGACGGTTTAGCCTCCACATACCAATTACTTGTTGACTCTGCTCGCATATTACATTGGAAGACTTCTGCCATGAAATGTCTGCTGACGACATTACATTAGTCATTACAGTGACAAGTGAGCAGGAAGGGCTGCTTCACTTCGCATTTCTCAGGACAAAGTAAGCAAAAAAAATGTACTTCATTTACTCCCAGCATTAAAATTCCTACAGAAATAATTTGAACCAGCCAAACACCACAGATTACACAGTTAGTGGAGGTTCAGGGCTGACTACAGGAGAGACTCCTGTCCATCACTGACACCCTCATCCAAAGCTTCCTGCCAAAATCCAGAGACATACTGGTAGGTTAACTGACTTCTGGGAAAAAGTCTGTGTCTGTGTGCCCTGCAACTGACTGACATCCAGTACGGGGTGTATCTCGCCTTGTACTCACAGCTTGCCAGGACAGATTCCTATCTCCTACGGTCCTGTATTGAATGAAGTGGTTAGAAAATAGATGGATGAATGGATTTTCATCCATTGGTTATTTATCTGATTGATCGATAAATTAAGGCTTCCAAAACTAAACCAGAATGTAACCTGAAATACAGTATGAGACTGAGTACAAAAATAATGTTCAAGTTCTATCATGCATAAGTAATTCTGTCATAAACAAATGGTCTGGTGGTGTGCAACTCTTTCGTTATGCTTTTTCAGAGTATTCAGTTAAAAACATATACCCTTTTCAAAATGTATTTATTAAAGCTAAAAGCTTGAAGAATCATATAGAAGACTGAAACCCTCTCTCTAACCAATTAGAAAAGAGAAAGGTTGCCAGCCTCACTGAGAGAAACCTATCAGTTGGAAGGTGGAATAAAGCATAGGAAACACAAACCCAATAATAATTTTGTACTTTTGTTTTCTTTTAAATGGTTAATCATTATTAAATATTAGTTCCTCTTAAAAAATTAGTTTTTCAAGCAACAGTTGCTCTATATAGTATATATTAACAGGTTATGCTAAACTAAGCCTTTCTTCTGCCAAGAAAATACTATTGGCCTTTAATATTTTAATAAATCTTGTCTAGTGATTTGTCTTGTGTAAATTCAGATGGAGCTTATTTTTAAAGCCATTTCAGCATTTGCAAGCAAAGAAGCTGGCTCAAAAAAGATAATTGAATGGATTTTGGTAGTTGTGTACTTGATATGGACTTGCATTTCTAATGCATCTTTAAATAGAAGATATTGTCATCAATCAAATCAATATAGAAACCTTACATATTTTGTTTTGTAACCACAAAAGAGTTTGCTGGTTACAAATGTAGTGGTAAGATGTCATTCTTACCTCAGAGATGGGTTGTACAGAGCCTTCACAAACACAATCAAAGGCTGATACTACAAATCTGACAAAGTTGTGTAGCAGTTGCAGATCATCATTTGTCAAAGTAGGTCACTTTTAAAATCTGAGAACACTCTGAGAACAGTCTCAAGCTAACTTCTTGAGTCTCTTACTTTTTTTGGTGCGACACATCTAGCTGCATGTTCAAAACCAAAGCACAAAGCCAATTTCTGATGCTGTAGGAACATGCTTTTATATTTATCATGTCAAATTCTAAATAAATAATTTAGGACACCTGGAAATGCACTTGTGTTACATCTATAATTAAAAAAAAAACATTGTAATAGATTATAAGTGCCCTTTGAATTTTGTTTCCATTCTTTTCTAAAAAAAATCATAAACTTTTATACTCCCCCTAAAAGAGTGAAAGCTTTAAGCAACTGTGTAAGGGCAAAATTATTTTACCTTGAGAAGTTTCCATGATTTAAGAACTTGCTAAATAATCTTACAAATGATATTTTGTGTATCAAGCTAAGGTTTATTTAAAAAAATGAGTGCTTTATATTTTAAACAATTTACCAAAGAGTAATATCTAACAATCTTCTGGCACCCTCTTAGAATCTACATATACATTTTATATCGTACTATTTATTATTTATTTACAATTTGCTTTCTGCACTTGATTGTTTGCATTTTGCATGGCCTATGGTTCTTCACCTTGTGTCACAACTATGGTGAGAGATGTGTTGTCAAAAACTAGGAATTTATCTGTAGTGATAAATCCAGTTGTGAACATTTTGTTTAAGTGAGACATTCTGTGGCATTGACTATTTCATTGACTATTTCTACTAAAAAGCTGGCACAACCACCTATTCAATAGCTTGAAATTGCTGTTTGCAAATTGTTTTGGAATATCAATTTTTTCAGCATAATATACCAATCTATGGTAGCTAGGAATTGACATCAGACATGATATTGATGATTTATATAATTTTGTTAATCAAAAACATATTAATGAAGATTAGATACGTGCAATCTTTAATTTCTTGGCAATTCCCGTCATTTTACGATTTTCATTTGCCTGTTGAGAAATTTCTTTAATTGAAAAGACTGTTTTCATTTAAATATGTTCACAATAAACCTGATTATCAGGCCACAATTTAAATACTGTACATCTCCCTCAGTAAGGTTTGCATTAGCATTTCACCTAAACGAGATTCAGATTAAAGATGCTTCCACAATAAATGACATCCAGTCATGTGCATCTCAAACATGTTGCCCAACTCAGTGAATAATTACACGGACATGGTAAGGAATGATCACACCCACATTGCTCTTGGGTACTGACAATATATTTCTGCAGAGTTAAAAAGTATAGTTAAAAACAATACTCACTTACATCAGCTACCTTCAAAACATTATATTCTAGTTTCTCATTTCTTCACATTTAAAATGCAGTTTCTGTTTTTGTAAGTACAATGCAATGATACATAAGACAGAAAACTTGTAAAGAATAGAAATACAAATTCTTCCAAATCAGCTTTACAAAACATGCAATGATTTTCCTAAAATAATTCCAAAAGCATCCGATATGGAATATTTATAATTGAGGTGAACAGGTTTGTCCTTTGCACAGAGAAACAACAATAAAGTATTTATTTGGAGAGAAAACAAAAACACTATAATCAAAACTTTAAGAGTAACGACTTGCCACTAGTTTGTAACATTATTCCTATTATTTTGGACGTTTAGATATATATAGATAAAACAACCAGGCAGGAATATAACACTGTAGTGATGCAGAAATATATTTTAGTACAGTCAGGTCGCACTTCAGAGCAGATCATACAGTTCACTGTATAGTACTACACTAAATAGTACTTTTTTTTTTCTTTGTACACAAAGGCTTTATTATATACATCATACACAATGGAAAAGCTTTCAGCTAAGATACTATGTTTACTTTTAGAACCAAGAATACAGTAAAACAATACTTCTTGAACAACATTTACTAATACAGTAGTAAAATATTTAAGGGCTCACGCCATAATAAAGCCACCAAATTGGAACATATTCTGCAGTATCTGACATCAGCTATTAAATTGAAAAAAATTCTGTAGTATCTACATAATCCAAATTTACGTTGTTTTTTTTCCTGTTAAAGCTCTAGGTATGTATTTTGGCTAGAAAATTGCATTGCTGAGAGTTACTTATCACTGGGTTGACAAGGAGGCATCAGATAAAAGCAATTATCAACATCAACTATAGCAATTCTCCACATTTTCTCTTCAGTAGAAATTTGTTGTGTAAATGTGATTTTTTTATTTCTAATTATGTTGTTGTTCACTATTCTTTTACTTAGCATATCAATAAAGTAAGGAATAATAAGCTTATACACACACACACACACCACTTTTCTCAGACCACACCATGTACTTGCCAAGACCTGTTCTGAAGAAATATGCAGTTGTGCTGAACATGTCTGTTAAATGTGTCTGTACATACATGCAATGTCACAGGACAAGGGCAGACATGTTTCATTACTAATTTAAAATAAAATAAGAAAACTATATATCTTCCAGTAAAATGATCATCATTCCAGATGTGTTGTGTGGGTGACTGTTGATAACAAGTTGAAAACCTGCAAAAGCAATTAGATTGACATGTCAAAGCTGTGTGAAATTGATACCTCAAAAGCAATTTGCTATGTGCTGCTCTTTAACAGTGCCAGGATAATTTGAATTCCATTAATCATTAATTAAAAAAATAGTATAGCCAACAATTTTTGTTACACCCACCCAATTTGGGATAGACAGTTGTGTGTTTTTCATCTCTTGGCTCACAAGACAAGTGCTCAAGTGCCCTCACACAGTGAAGAATGAGTATATTTAGGTAAACTCCGCTGACCTGCCCACCTTTGAAGTAATCTTTTATCACATTGCTGTGCAGGATGTTCAGCACTGACAGAGCCTTTGCCTAAACCTGTAACTAATCCCACCCTACCACTGATGGCAGCCCCCTGCTTAGAGAATCCAGGTCGGCTAGCAACATAACTGCTTGACCCTTTGAACCAAGAGCTCAACCTAAACTCAGCTGAGCCTATGCCGATAGAGCCTCTCAGGAGGCCTGTTGTTTTTCTTCATTAATCTGAGTATAAGCTTTTCCCCTAACTGCTTAGAATACCAGTCGTTTTCCAAGACTCTGTAGTACAGATGGACTGTGCAAAGATACCTTTAGTGTCAGACCTTTAGTGTTAGAAATTAGAATTCAAACAGGCTCCCTCATACAGTATACTATCAGTCAAGACTACCTATATCACTCGATCTTAATCCATGTGATTTTTATCATAGAGGCACCTTTACCTGTAGTATTGCAGCCTAACCCATGAACATGTGAGGATTTTAAGGAAACAATTAATATAATTAAAAATGCCTGTTTGATTTCACCAGATGCTTTATAGTGTAGAATTTTTATGTCAGCAGAATGTATGTAAACACATAAGGAGATAAACTGAACAGGTTTTTAAACTAATATTGTATGTATTTCCAAAATTTAAGGATCATTTCCATACTTCAATAACTTAAATATGACAGAAAACCAGAAACATAACCCGGTGCAGCGGTACAGTGCACTTAAGTGTTCCATTCAAGTACGTCTCTGTCTGTATGAAAGACGTCTCCGAGATGGCACTGAGTGTGGCTGAGTGGAATATAAAAATAATGGTAGCATGGTGTTTAGCATTACAGCCTCATAGCTCTTGGATCCTGGGTTCGTTTCAATTGTGATCTTAGGCACTAACAGTATGGAGTTTGCATATTCTCCCTAAAGCTGCATGGAATTTCACAGGATCCTTTTAAATTTGCTATCCAAATTATTTTGCATCTCTAAATTGCCCACCATATGCTTTTGAGTGACTGTGTGTGTGATGAACTGGTGATATATCTAGAGTTTAGTTTTGCCTTGCACCCTATGCCTGCCAAGTAAGGCCTCTTATTGCTCATCAATACCCTCTGTGGATAAACCAGTTTAAAAAAAGCGATATATAGGACCATATATTGGATGAGTAAAAACATCAGTACAAGTAAATCTCTTGTCTTCATCTAAAAAAACAAAGGCCTCCTGACATTTCGAGTTATTTATACAATAGCTGAAATGCATCTTGCTTCACTATACAACTTCTTCATCAATTATTATACCATGTTTCACTATAGAATGTATCATACTATACCATACTAAACCTTCATACGGTACACTGGGCAGCAAATGCATACACAATAACACAATTAAAGCAACAAGTAATCACATAAAATTAAACATTTGACTATATATACAATTCAAAGTCAACTTCTGCAATTTACAAATAAAGCTATGACTTGTAATACTTTAAATACAGGACAATCATGTTGTCATTCACATGCACTTTAAGCACCTTGAGGTTACAATGATATTTCAAAATAAACTTTAATTCCTGTGAAAACCTGTACTGCACATACAGTAGAGTAAGTAAAAAAGAAAAACCTTGAGTATTTTTCCTCTGATCTCTGCATGACAACAAAAAGATCCTGAGAAAATACCATGTAGTGTACTATCTAACCAATATTTCCTTTGTTCATTTCTAAAGAGAACCCTCTTTATGGTCAAGGACAGCACTCCATTGTGCACAGACACAAACAAACAATGTTAGGTTTGTCAAAACATCACACGTTTATCACAAAACTCTCAGCTGCCATTAGTTATTCAATCTTTTCTTTCTTCTCTTTAAAAAAAGAAAAAAATACATCATGCTCTGAGGCACATTCCAGACTATCTTCTGTGAAAAGACTTTAGATCTCAACAGAGCTGAAATAGAGAAAGGTAAATGATAGCAAGTAGGATAAAGAAAACAGATAACTTTCAGATTGTTATAGAAAATTTAAAACAATACAAACCAATTCACATACTGCCTCTTTCACCCCTTTCTGATTCTCTCCTAAATTAAAAAAATATATAACTATATCACTGTATTTACTAATATACTAACTGTTTTGCATTTTGTTAGTTCATCCCTAAATGATAATTACAAATAATTAAAGTCTTGGTTAACAAATACTGTATATCAGGCACACATGCCTGGATCCACATTCCAAATAGTGAATTTAAGCACTTCTGTTCCAGTCTAGTCACGTTTTCACATGAGAAGAATGATTTTAAGAAAGACTGAGGTGTTGGAAACTAAATATTTTGAAATCATCATCACTTTTTAAACACTAGTTTAAAAATGCTAATAAACTCCAGAAATGATTTTATCTTTGATCAATTTACTTACTATTTTTTCTTTATATATACTTTATATTTTTACCCAGTATAAAAACATAAAATTCAATTGTTATAAAAAAAGTCACAAAATCAATGTGGTCAATTTTGAACCTGAATCTATTATACCAATATCATTAGGAAGAAGATTAAGAACCTTAAAACAAAAATTGCTATTACTTTTGGTAGAAATATCATCAACTGAATACCTAATCAAAACATTTTTATTTTATTCTTCAATAAAAACTAATGCAATGCCACAAGAAAAATGATATAGTAATTGGTACAAAAATACTAAAAAAACAATAGAGGAGATTGTGCACTCCAATTTGTATTATACAATATATCTTGAATACATTTACTGTGTTTTTGATTAATACTTCTTAATTCCATATTCAAAACACTGACTTCTAAAATTCACTAAAGGGGGAAACATATCTTGGACCTCACACTGACCCTCCAAAAGCTCATGTCTGAAGGTCCAACGCTGCTTCTCTATGTGCAGTTCAAGTTCAACCTTTTCTGTGGTGATGTAGTTATAAAGCTGACATTGCAAGAAAGCATAAATCTGGCAATGCTGTCCGATGTACTAGAAAGGAACCCTTTACTCTCAGTGTTAGGCTATAAACACTAGGATTAGAGTTACTGTACAATCATTAGTTACTAATACTCTATCATTAGAAACCAACTTCTTCTGGGCGACCAGGAGTCACAATAACCCAGAGCTCATACTGGAACAATGTGCTATCATTCAGAAGGCAAAACCAAGTAACAGAAAGTGGGTTAAAATAAACAGAAAACACGAATTACTCTTGTTTTTTACTTATCAATTAACCATTTTGTATTTATTTGTCTGAAAAGGCATTTATTTGTAAATAGGATTTAATGACACTAGAGTTAAAAGTAACAGATTGAAACACGATACAGTAATAAACACATAAAATACTGAACAACACTATACCAGAATATGCTTTATAACATTGTATTTATTTCAGTACAAAATCCGCATTAATAAAAGTAATAAACTAGAAATTCATAGCATACCTGTGGTGTTTTTTCGGCGGTGGGGGAGGTGGTATCTGTTCATTAGCCTTGTTCTTTTCTGCTGGGAAGTCTGAAGTGAAAGATGCTGTCTTAGCTAACATGTTCTTGTTATGTTTGTCCTTTTCTGATGCTCTGCCTGGGTGGTAATGACTGGCACCATTGTGAGCTCTGCCTGGCTGATTATATTCCTTGCTGTGTGCAGCAGGGCTCCCAGGCTTTGAATCACTCGGCTCCGAGACAGCGGCACCATTGATGAGACCGTGTGTCCTGCACTGATGCATCGTCTCCTCTCCCCCCTCCTCCTCCTCTTCTATTCTGCCTTCCCAGTTCCAGGCTGTGTTAAAGAACTTGTGTCTCTTTTCTGTGGCTGACATTGAGGTTCCCAAATTGTGTGTGTCCTCTGTGGACCTGCTCTGGACCTGTAAATAGGAGCAGGAACTCTGCGTCTCAGCTTGAAAAGAGGACTCAGCCTCCTTGTCTGATATTGGAGTGGAAGAAAATGATTTTGGAGATTGACTGCCTCTCTTAGGAGGAATTGGTGGACTGGGTTGTAGTCTGGGCTGCAGTAAGGCTGAAGCTGTATCGGAACTGTCCGAGGGCCACTTGAATGAAGGGCTGTTAGGATCTTTTGTGGAAGTGGGGCTAAAGTGTGGCCACTGTGTGCTCACAGCTGAGTCAGGACTGCTTAGGTAAAATGTTCGGTTGTCTTCCTCAGTGTGAGCTGCCATGACAGTAATCTTAGCTCTCTGGCAGTCTTTGTCACCTGTGAGGTCTACCTCTATATCTGACCTTTTTTGGAGAGGGTTCTCATTTTGGGACCTTTTTTTCTTTTTGGTGCTCTCAGCATAAATGGGTTCACTATTCAACTGAATAGGTTGGCTCTTTGTTGGTGGACTGGGAGAAGAGATCAGGTTCTGAGGCCTCTCCTTGACTTGTGCATCAAGAGAGGGAAACGATTCACACCCTGCCTGTCTACATTGGTCCAGCCCCTCAGAACAGATGAGACAGTCTGTGCTGCTCCGATAAGAACAGGAGTCTGACAGGCTAGCAGATTCAGACACCATTGAAGAAACCCTGCTGGAGAGCCTCCCATGGCTCCCATAAGAGTTCTGAAGCCCCCTCTCTTGGGGAAAGCCAGAGGAGAAAGAAGTGCTTGATTTCACTGAGTTTCCAGCAGTGGTGGGGTTAGCTGCGAGTATGTTGATTGCAATCTCCAATGTTGGTTGCTGCTCCTGTCCAGAAGAGCCATAGCAGAGGGCTTCCCTGTAACTGTCAGAGCTGTTCAAGGGAAGTGTCCTGTCTTCCTTCTTTGGTAAAGAGCCTCTGGAGTTGCTGTTAGTATAAGTGCTCATGGCTGTTTTTGTGATCTGTGGTCGGTAGCTTTCACAGGGGCTTGTTCCATTCTCCCCAAGAGTCAGAGGTGCTCGTACATCCTCCTGAGTCACAAAGATGCTGCTAATGAAAACTGGCTCCTTTGGAAGACCTGAAGGGGATAATGTGCTGGCAGAACACAGACTTGAATAGCTGCATTTATCTCCAGCTGCATTCTGAAAAACAGCGTCTTTTAAAGTTTTGCTGCTGTGATGATTGTCCATGTAAACTTGTGTGAGGCCCAACATCTTCTTATGACAAAGTTTTTCATTCGGACTCTGACTGTCCTGAAATAAATGAAATCCATAAAATTAATGAGACATATCATTGAGAGTAATACTTTATGTCTAACTACTAAGTAGTTCTTCTGTGTCTTATTTCTTCTGTGGTAATAAATAACTTGTGCCCTTCTGAAATGAGAAAATGCACTGATATTGAAACAAAACTAATTATAAAAACACCAACCACAAATGTAAATTTCCAAAAGAAACATTATTACAGAACATAAATAAGAATGAGATAAAATTCCTTCATGCATAAATGAAAGCAGTTTTTTCTTGGAACAATTGTTTTATAAGAAATTAAGGATCAATCATTAAATGACCTTCAATAATATGGTACTGCCATGACATGTATATGGAGGCTAAAGTGCTTCACACAAAACTTTTAAAAGTTTACCTGTTGGAGGTCAATGTTCATATTCAAATTGGTCCACACATCAGATGTCTCTGAATTCATTCTCGTAGGCTTAACTGCAATTGTGGGCTTAGAATAGGTCAGGGAGGTAATTACACAGTCATCCTCATTCTGTGCTGCATCTATTTTCTTTCGATCCACATAATTTCTTTGTAAGATGATGCCGTTCTGAGCAGTGGTTTCAATAGGCCTTGCCTGTCTGTGGGCACTTCTGGGATAGAAGCAGTTTTTGCAGGAGCCCGGTTTCCACACGTGTTCGGCAAAGTCTCCACACGCAGACATCTTCAGTCTCTTCACTATCACTGCAAAGCCGGCTAATATCCAGAACACAGGGGGTCTTCTGACATGGTGCACCAAATGCAACAAAGTTCCCTGGACTCAGAGCTGTCAGTGTTCTAAACCTGTGAGAAGAAGACATTCATGCATGTTTATAAAGGCATTTCTTCAGATTTCATGCAAAGATATACCAATGATAAGCTTCCAGAATACCTGGAATTGACTGTGTTGTCCTAAAACCATGTTGATAACTAAATTTGATCACTGGTTAATTGTTTCAAGGACCTTTGCAGCAGAATTTTTTAAAGCAATTTCAATCTTAACACAACAACAATGGAGGTCAGGCTGAGGTTTTGATCTGAAACCAGACCAGGAAGTGCAAAAAACATATCTGATGTGTGACTTACTTATACACTAATCTAAATATGGTCAGAAATGCAGATTAGAAATTAATGTGGCAACAAATACACATTTTTGAATTTGTAACTGCAATTCCTTTCTCTATAAACTTATTCTTACATATTCATCTCTAGCTCTCTCAGGTTTTATCTTCATTTTTCACCAACAAAGATCAGTGGTAGATAGCCATAGTCCTTGAGTACCACCTTTGTTTATGGTTTCCATTCAATATCAAACCTTAATTATTTTATTAAAGCGAGTAACTGGATAAGAAGTCAAAATCAGCTGAGTGCTATTTAAAAGCATCCAGCAGTTTCACTGATTTTTCTTCTCATTATCACAAACATAAACACTGAAATTCTTACTCAAAAAATTATTTTCATATAAAGCATTTAACTGACCAAGTGCGCTAACACAGTCAGCATTACGTATTCCAAAGTAAAACCTGATTTGACAGTGAATTTTGGTCACACATACTGTGCACTTTGAAAACATCTTTATACAGCACATGTAGGCCAAATGGAATTGCCCCAAAGCCAACATTAAAAAATAAAAGATTAGAAGTCCTCCTGACCAATGAAACCAGTAACTAAATGATCAAAAGAAAATGCCTGGTTCACTACCATCTGTGTCTTTGTTTCAGTGCTTGGAAATAATTTATAAGGATACACAGTAATCTTTTCTCCTGCCAAATGCAAAACATTTAAATTAAAACCACACAGCTTAGGATCATTGTTAAGCAAGGTTTTTCTTGGAAAAACAATTTAAGAAATAGAAGGTATCATACTAAAAAAATAAAAGTAAATAAAAAGCTGAAGAAATGAATAACAGTTTAGTGACTAATTAAAGGAAAATAAAATGTTTAAAGTACTACATTTTCATAAAAGTTTAGAATTGTCCATGTTTTACAGGTTTTGTGTACAAGCTACAACTTATCTTTGCATATCCTTCTTAAGGAAATCTTCCTCACTGTTCTCTACAGCTTTAACTAAATCCCATTAAACTCAATAAAGACTGCAATAACTTGACAAGACTATATTTACACTTTTAAAGCTATTTATTAATTATTTAGAGTGCTTTTACTTTTTGTATAATATTTTAAATTAACTGATTTCCAGAGTAAAAGTATAGATTTTTTCTTGTTACTACAGGACACTGCTATAGAACAATTCCAGAGCCCATTAGGTTAGTTAGGTAACCCATAATATATAAGGAAATTTGAAAGCTTACAAAATGCTGTAAAATATGGGTGGAGGGCAGAACCCTAGGGTAGAGTGGTGGCACTGTGGCTAAGGTACTGCATTTATGGCTGGAAGGTTGCTGGTTCAAATCCTGTAGCTAGTAGAGGAATCCTACTCTGTTGGGCCCCTGAGCAATGCCCTTAACCCCAACTGCCCCATGGGTGCTGTACAATGGCTGACCCTGTGCTCTGACCCCAAGCTTCTCTCCCTGTCTGTGTGTCTGTCTCATGGAAAGCAAGCTGGGGTATGTGAAAAAGACAAATTCCTAATGCAAGAAATTGTATATGGCTAATAAAGTAATCTTATCTTAAATATTCACAGGAATACACTATTATCAGGAAATGAACATCTTTCTCTACCATTACATTGACATTTTAAAGAAACAGAAGTGACGTAGGTAAATTAATTATTCTAATTAATATTAGTAATCAGCAAGCTACATCAACACATGGGATCACTGTGGAATGTTAAGGCTAGTAGCATGTGGCCACCTTCAGATGCAGTACAAGCTTTACATTTGCAATGCAAGCTTAATGCCAGTTTGCAAATGCTGTTTTGTGGGATACCTACCCATACCCCTCACAAAGCATGTGCCTGGTCACTGGTCTCTGAGCTGTTTACCACATATAATCCTAGCTCTTCCCAGAAATGTTCAAGTCTGTAGAGTGGGACAGTCAAAGCAGAACTGTCACATTCTTATCTTGCAAGACAGCTGTCACTTGAGCAGCATGAAGACATGCACAGTTCTGCTAGAATTTCATGTTAGGATGAGTGCGCAGGAAGGACTGTACTTCATTTTTCTAGAGTAATATTTTTTTATGTCCAGTATATATTTTCCCCATAATTTCACTCAGCCATTCATCATAAGCAAGTAGCTTATTCCACGTAGTCATGTTGGCCATCTGGGGCCATCGTGGAAGGCAGGACTACACCCTACACAAGACACCAGTCCATTGCAGGGTAAAAACAAAAACAAGAACAAGTCAGCAATAAAACTAGTCAGCATATCTTCAGAATGTGGTAGCCAACTGGACCACATGGAGAAAACCTACACAAACACAAGAAAAATGCAGACTCCACAAAGAAAGAACTTCAGTCCAGAACTGAACCCAGAACCTAAGTGCCATGAGACAGCAGTGTTAAGTGCCATGCCACTCACTTCCTCTCCAGTTGTCTAAAGCTGGCTTTTTGCATGATGAACAGACAAAAATGTTGCATTACACACAAAGTTACAATAACATGCTGTTATATATTGTTTGTCATTTTTAAAGTATAAAAATCAGATGTGATTATAATAATCAATTCTTATTTAAATTGATCTACATTTTTCAAAGTAAAAATGAAGTAAAAGTTTTAACAATGCCATAGTTGTAGATCTAATTCAGGAATGTAAAATGTTAACATTCTAAGGATTCTGAAAACTGTTCTTTGGGTATAGTTATATACCAAAATAGATGCTTATCTTTTTTTATTACATAGTTTTCACTATATGAAACAAGGTAGGCTATTATTCTTACTTTGCAAAGCATTACATTGCATTACAATAATTGGTATGCAGACTAAATTCTACACTAACTTTATCTAAAGTGAAAGAGTATGTTACCTGCAGAGAAAGTCTTTTAATCTAAACTTATTTTTTTCTGGATCTTTAACAAATGTAAATACACAGCTACAAACAATTTCCAGACTTAATAATAACAGCCCCAACTGAAATATAATTATAAGACCAACTGAAAGTGTATATGAAGTGTACAAAGTCAAAAGTCTTAGGTGAGACTTAAGACTATTTCTTATATAATAATTTCTACAATACAATTTCTACAATATCTAAACATCAGGGCATTGATCAAGTAAGACATTATAGGAATATTACCCCTGTTGCCTTCCTATGTTTCAGAGCATTAAATCCTCTGCAGATGTATTCAGAATGTAGTACATGGACAGTAATAGTTCAATATATTAATTAAAAGGTTTTTAAAACTTACTTATCCTTGTATTTATTACCTATTTAATTTAAGTTGTAAAAAAGTATTCAAATCCATGATTTAAAAAAGCTGCCTACTCTTTTGATGGCACTGTTTTATGCCTGTTTTTATGTTGCATACATCAGGAGTCTGCATGAAATCGTATGCACATACATCACAAAAAGAACGTTACCAAAGTACTTGTAAAAAAAACTGCACTACTAAACAGAGAAGAAAGAAAAGTGTAAGAAACGTGAACCTTGGTGCACTAGGATTTGGAAAGTGGTCTCATAAATTTATCGTGTTTGATTCCGGCTTCAAAAACCCTGCACCATCATAGACTTTAAAGAGAAGATTAGGGCTGATAGTCACAATTTGGAACACAGAGAATTTAAAATTGTTCATGTCTACACAAGAGCACAACTTAAAACTGCATGCAACTCTCAAATTAGGTTAAGAGATATTTTAAAAAACAGGATGGAGTCATTTTATACCCATAAATGGTTTATATGGTTGCTATTGTAGTAAAAAAGAAAATAATGTAAACTCCAACAGTAAAATCAGAATTCTTTTTTGTCTTGTTTATTTACAAAAGTGAGAAACTGATATAAAGGTCAATTAGAGTTAATACACAACTGGAAAACTTCATATAATATTTCCCAAATTATGCAAACTTAACTCCTACTTTAAGAAATGGAAGAATTTTGTTATAATTAACTTTGCCCATCATTTCTGGGTGACTGAATTAGTGGTTCTCTCAGGTTCTGTTTTGCCCACTTGCCTTGACTTGAAGGAGAGTATAGAAGCAGTCTTCAGTTTTGTTGATCCACATTCTTAAAGTGATACTATCGTAAACATTATCACAGTGCCTCCAACAATGCCTTGAGTGGAATGACAGGTATGAAGGACATCATGTCACTCAGGGGTGAAAACTGTACATCTGCAACACTGGACAAAGGATTTTAAAACCTTTACAGCTCTTTATAGTATTATTTTTTTATCTCATTACCAGGAAGGTTTTTACAGATCCTAAAACACTTTTTTCATTATTTCCTCTGCCTTCTTAAAAGTAATCTAAGGCTGAAAATGGGATATATGCGTTACATTACTTGTTTTCTGATACCTACCTTATAGATATAATTACTATTAAGAGTAGCTCTGATCAAAAGCTATCAGTTATCTGTAAAAAGTGGAGGCTTATTTGCAATATTATAGAATATTATAATATGATTTTCATCTTTTAAATGTTATCTAACATATTAAATTAATAATTTGGTCAAAAAGTATTTGGCTGCAAACAGTTGTTTTTTTCAGGAAGTTACTTAACATTTAAAACTGATATTGTGTGATAGCATCCTTCTGCATAAAACTAAAATAAAATGTAGATAAAAATGAAATGCCTTTTGATTCTTATCATCAAGTAATTAAAAAAATGTTATTTTTTAATTTTTAAAAAGGGTTTAATAGGATTTTTTTAATGCAGGTTTACCTGTATAGAGTTGAGTATTTCTATCTTTCCAA